TTTCGTCCTATAAGTATATTGCCTGATGTGTCCAAGGTACTGGAGAGGGTTGTTAATGAAAAACTTAACGATTATTTTAATGGTAATAAAATTATGGCGGTCACACAGTCTGGGATTCTATGAGCCTGGGTTTCGCCCATTTTATAGAAGGTACTACTACTGCTCCGCTCAAAGTAACAGATGATATTTTTAGAGCTTGTGATGACGGTAGCACCACTTCTCTTGTGCTTTTGGATTACAACAAGGCTTTTGACACGTTGGACCAGGACATTTTGTGTACCAAGTTGGAGAACTTTGGTCTTGACAAATGGTCGTTGCTTTTCATGAAGAACTACTTAAAGGACAGAGAGCAGCGGTGGTGATTGGCAATAGTCGGTCAGATTCAGTAGTATTGACGAGGGTGTTAACCCCAGGGAAGTATACTTGGTCCTTTGCTGTTTTCTGTGTACACACCTGACTGCTGGTTTTTTGAAGTTTTGTGAATCTCATCAGTATGCCGACGATATGCAGATATACCACTCGTTTCCTATTTCCGAATTTTAAAATGCCGAGGAGCAGGTAAACAGTGATTTGGAAACGATTTATGAAATTTCTCAATCGTATGGCTTAAGTCTGAATGGCGCCAAATCACAAATCAGGCTATTTAGTAAACATCGTGAACTCCTGTCTTCAAACGATAATTTTGTTATTGAGATCAATGATCAGCGCCTAATTCCTTCAAACACTTGCAAAAATCTGGATGTCTTATTGGACTCTCAGTTTCGCTTTGGTTCCCATATTGCGACCCTTTTACGAGCAGGATTCACTAAACTACGCACTCTTTATATGCATCGTGATTTTCTCTCCACAGATATAAAATTAAGATTGTGTGATATCCTGGTCTTGTCGAATCTGGGTTATTGTGATGTGGTAGGTATATTAGACTATCCAAGATGCTGTCAAACTTAAATTAAAATGGCCGCCAAGAGGCACACAAACCCTTTGTTTATGTGTCATTCAATTTGTCATCAAATAATCCCTGCGTTTAGGCCGATTATTATTATTAATTATTCTCATCAAATTTTACCGATGGCTCCACCATTCTATAGCCGTCATTGTCATTTTCCATTCACTAAACAAAGATAGCTAACTCACCGGTGAAGTCACCGATAAGAATAAAAACGAGGGGTATGTTATGAGTTTTTGAGTTTAAAATAGTGCTCATTGTGAATTATTTGCGTTCTGATACTTAAAACTGTTGTTTTTAATTTAAGAAATAGTGTATTTAAATACTGTATGTAAATCGTAGTAAATAGTTCTTGAAAAGCGAAAAGCATGCCTACAACGTGTTGTATTATTAAATGTGGAAGTCGTGGAGATCACAGATTAACCCAGATCGCCATTGCTAAGTTTTTTCAAATTCCAAGTGTAAAAAACAATACAAATCAAGGGAAAACACTGGACGGTTGAGTTAAAACAGATAAATATTTTCACATTAAGGGTAGGTCCTGCGTGTCCAAGTGAAATGCAGGTAGAGCAACCTTGCCCAAACAATAGGAATTCCGTAATTGGGTAGAAATTAGCCAAAATTGAGACGCACACAATAGAAAATGAGTATTGAATTATGATCAGAGGTACAACCGAGGCACAGAACATATCAAAGGTGATATGTTCTGTGAACCGAGGGTACAACATATCAAAAATTCAAGCAATTTCACCGAAACCACTTTGACATAACATAATGACGTTATAGTTTGTATTTGTGTCAATGTTTGTGTGCCTCTTGCCGGCCATATTTTGCTTGTCAAAGTCACGTGTTTTGTATAGTCTACTAACCGTGCGTTCGTTATTTTGGTCTGAGTTCTCCGAGCTTGACTTTACCGTTCGTTTATTTGAAAAGTGTACTCGGTGCAGCCTCATTCGCGTTCGTTTATTAAAATTTCTGGCACTTTTATACAGCGTTCAACTGCTCTGTTCGCTCGCTGGTCATGTGATTACGGCTCCGCTCAGCACGCTCTGCTCTTTGAGCAAAATACCGAACGCAAGGTAAGTGAGCATTCACACTGCTAGGGAGCAAGAAGCACGCTACTTATTTTTAGAACCTTAGCCTGGAATTACAAAAGCTCTGCAACACCAAGATACAAATGCAGGACCTGCAAGTCTGACTTTTCGTATTACAGAAGCAGAATGCATTTGCAGATCGCCTGCAAATTTGCGCATGGTGAAACAGTCCCGCAATCACTTTGACAACTTTGACATTGAAAACTGGTAAATCAGTAGCGCCCAAACACTTTTTTTCGATAAATATGACGAAATTGCAGATTTTTTCTGTAATTTGCTCGTTTCCGCAAATAGAGCACATATTTGCAGATCTGCAAATTTGCAGATGCAAATATACTGTAATTTGACCCTTAGAAAGATATGGCAGATTTCATACCGGAGAGGCGTCGCAATAATTCGATGTGGCAACATGTGTCATACATTTTGATAGTTTTCGTGTTTCCTGCTTCCTACCAGCAAGTCGCACGTCGCATGCTACTTTGGTGTCAATGCTCATTAAAGTTTTCATACGGCCATAGGATGATCATGTATCCTCTCTTTTTGATAAATCTAAATGGCTCAACCTACAAAAAAGATTTTCTGTGCATTTAGCAACTTTGACTTTCAAAATTATCACAACGGAACAGCCCGAGTATCTGTTTGAAAAGCTTAAGCTCACTTTTCATGCATCCGTTTTTCCGACAATCCGTTGATCCGGAAGTATTCCTATTGGTCCAATATTTTGGCGCCAAGATATTGGATTAATAAGAATACTTCCGGATCAACGGACGAAAAAACGGAAGCATGAAAAGGAAGCTTTAGTCATAGGTCTTATACTCATGAAAGGTCAACTAGACATTGTAATCAGTTTAAATATTCCATTACACATCTCTGCTTTGTATCAGCGTACCAGAAGTGCTTGATATTTGTAGGTAGTATATGCTCCATGTTCGATATAAAGATGACTTCCCTTGGCAAGATTGAATAAATCATAAAATCTGTTTTTTTTTTAAAGATAAAAGTCAAACTGACATTATGTTGGCAATACAATGCAAAATTGTCAATGCTTTCAAATTTTTTATGTAGAAAAGGCTTGTGTTGCCAACATAGTCACTAAATTTTTGACTTGGGGAATTATCTTTAAAAAAAAAAACAGACTTTATAATCGTGAGGATTCCTGGAGTATTTGTATTTTTTGTAGTATTTACTTGTTTTTGGAACTAATAAGTTTGGAGCACTATACCACTTCGGAAACCTATTATCTGCGACGGCTCGTTTAGGCACAAATCTATCAAGGGCAGAATAAACAATGCGATAGACATTTTCCACTATCTCAGGTTCGAACAGTACGAAGGTTCGATCAGTATTTCAGAGTATTTCCATCACACCAGTGACAAAGGTAAGCTCGAAGGCTGGATGGTAAGGATCGCACTTGACCAAAAGATGGTTGCTTTGTTCAACTGAGTAAGTTTCGATGTTAAGATCCTGCCCAAAGAATTCTTAACATGATTGACCTGATGGAATTCCAAGTAATACATTGACTCGCCGACCTAGGCAGTGTAGTGGTTAGTGTATCTGCTTCGCATGCTGCAGGTACCGGGTTCAAGTACTAGCTAGGGCATGGTTGTTTGTGGTATTTAACCGGCTCGTTGGCTTGGCGTGAGGATGTCCAAGGACTTTCTCAGGCTTGCGTGATGTCGGTGAAGTCTGAATGGTTGACCATGGATTGCGAATCGGACCATCTTAGGGTGGGGGGTGCATGATAAGATCGACCATTCAGACTCTAGTATGAATGGGAAGGAGTAGAGTCCGTGCAAATGATGTATAATAAGCCACAATGAGCTTCAGTGCAGAGCATGTGCTCGAAAGGGTGACAAAAAAAAATTCATTAACTCAATGAAGGTTTCTTCAGCTAAGGTTCTCGATTTTACTGGGGCCAGGAAGCATTCCTCAAGACACCATTCTATATGGGGAAGGTTGAAGTCCCCAACTATCAAAAACGCTGCTCTGTGATACCTAGTTCGAAGTACCTCAACCCTGTCCATGAATTCCTGGTATGTTTCGACAGCAGAGTTTGAGGCAATGTAGACTCAACCAACCACAACATCATATCCACGGAGAGCAATGTGTACTCAAATATTTTTGAAGAGGGCAAGTAAGTGCAGGTGAATCAATTGCGGATGCATTGAGATCTGAAGATACCGCAACCAAGAATACCCCACCATGCCGAAGACCAAGCATATAATAGCCTCGATCATGACGAAATACTGAGTAGCCATTCCGAAAATATTCTTCGTTAAGATGGCCTGGAGACAGCCAAGTTTCCGTAAGCGAAATGACGTCATAGTTGCAGGCTTCAACACCGTGTGAGAATTCCCAGATTTCGTCCTCAAACCCCTGACGTTTTGGTGAAATAACGTGATGTCTTTTGTTATTTGTTGGTGTCGATTGGACCTCACAGCATTTCTCGGGACTACGCTTGCAGGCCCATCATTCACAGGCGCGGGTATAAAAAATTACTAGATGCAATATTTGGGGGCGGATGTTCTGTTTCGATTTCCAATTCCGTCTGAATTCCGACCTAATTCCAACCTCACGATCTCGAAGCCACGATGCTACTTATTTTTCCAGGATGATTAATTTGTGTTAATTTCGACGCTACTGGTATATTATAGTTTTGGCAGATTTATTCGGCCAATTCCCATTTGCCTTTATTAGTAATTTTTCCATCTACAGCATGGTATGGCTTCAGAATTTTGTTACTCTTCACGTAGGTGATATTTTTCAAATTCTTATCATACCCTTCAATCTTATTGTTTTGATTAAGTATGAGTTTGTTGAGCGCTGTTTCACCCTTTACAAAGGGTGCACCTACAATAAGGGTGTTAGTAATTTAGAATGTGTAACCTGTAGAAACTATATACTTTATCCATTCCATAAAATTGGAACAAGCCATTGCTATTATAAAATTCAAAGAACAATAAATAGAAAAATAGCGTTTATTATAAACATAGACATTTCTAAAAAAAAATATTTGTGTACCTATCGATAATAATTAACGAATACCACTAGTAAAGCAAAAATAAGACGTTTAATACTGAATAATGTGTCACAAACCTTGTTTCTTCTGGCGAAAAATAAATAAATAATTTAGTGCACCCGTCAAACCAAAAAATCAATTTCAACAAAAAAAAAATATATTTATATAAAAAAGAGCAACCTTTAAAAAATTTGATTGCAAATGAATTGGTCTCTCGAGTCACAGTCAAAGGCCTTTGGAAAATCTGCCAGCTGGGTCCAAATCAAACCCAACCTAAACCAAAAGATGTTTATCAATGTTGAAGCTACAAAAAAATAAACTTACATTGATTTTGAAGAAAGCCTAAACTGCAATAAATTATTGTATATGTCATATTCTTGTGTAGATTCCATACACTGAGTCTAAAAAATTATTTCTTCAAGCAAACAATAGTAAATTAAAATAAAGTATAAACCTACCTGAGCAAAACTTAAAAAGTACAATCCAGATTGTTCGTACTGTTCCACGCCTGCATAATGAATATGATTTCCATTGATGGATAATTCTGTGAGTGCCTAAAAATCATAGTTTAAAATAAACTTTTTTGTTTTAACCCAAACTTACTTCATGGGCAATCTTTACTGCTGAAATCTCCTTGAGAGCATTCAAAGCAGTAGCCCTGGCTCTCGAAGCTGGTATGTTTGCTATACTTTTTAAAATGTAACTTGAAAAAAAAAATGCATGAAGTTGGATAAATACGAATATTTTTTACTCACTTATAGAGACAATCAACTCCAGGCTGTGTAGTTTTAAGAGATTCATTAACAGTCATGTGGAATGGCGACAAAATCTTTTTGTCTGCAGTCCATAAGCTGCCAAAAGGCAAAATCGATGATAAAATAGCTGAGGCTATTTCCACACCTAGACGACCATAGCGAATTGGACTGGAAATAATCAGAATGTCAAAGATATACAGAGCTTTTTAACTTCATTTTGCTTACTCAGGATATCCGTTTTCAAAAATTGGCTCCATAGTTAAACTCCTTGGCACCACAATGATATTTTTTGAAGGTATATACCTTACACTAGGAACATTTTTTAGAGTTTCTTTTAAATAAACAGCTTCAGGTAAAGTGTTCAATAACATCCTTTCTTCTATTTTCTTTTGAAAACCCATTGCACTTTTTACACTTTCGAATAAATTCAATTTTATAATTTTCAAAGATTTGTAGTAATTTTTTAGAAACATGACATCTTTGGTTGATTGAGGAAGACCAATTTGAATAGAAACTGCGTTGAGCTAAAAAAACAATTATATGAATATAAATCTTTTTACAAAAACAATACCTACTTTGGCTTTTAAATGTTCTTTCAACATAGCGGTATTATCAAACTTGCCAACTTTCTTCTTAACAACCTTAAGAATATTTTCAAAAGTATTATTCAATATTTTTTTGGTATCATCCGAAACAGGATACAGTTTTTCCAATTGATATTCAGCAGCCACTGCCATATATTTTCGCACTAGTCCCGTGCAAATATCCCATCTTTCCATCGTCTTTGACAGGCCGAATAATTCGTTGTTAAATGAATTGACTGCCGCATTATAATTTTCCGATAGAAACGGTATATACTGTCTTACCAACGACCATATTAGGTACCCGTTCATTGTACGTCTATCCGTCGACGATATTATTTGTGATAATTGAGTCAGGTATTCTTGAGAAGTAACTAAGACTTGAGTGTTGTCGGAAATGCTCACTTCAGGGTACATTGCTTGTAGAATGTCATAAAATGGAATCTGAAATGGAGAATTTGGATAGATAAGTCTATAGTCAAAATAGAAGAGAGATTTGAGCATGCCTTATTGGGTTTTTAAGCAAGGTACTTTTTAATCAAGATTTTTCCTGCTGTGGATTATTTTTCAACTTATTTATGGGTATCCTTAATTCTTGATTTACTTTGTGCTTATACCCAGACAGAAATTGTGACTGATATGAGCACTGCTGCACTTCTTGAAGTGTTTAATAGGTTCATAGCGCATAGAGGAAGGCCATCTAACGTATACTCCGACAACGGCAGCAACTCCATTGGTACAAATAATAAACCCAAGGAGTTAGGCCAGTTTTTGAAATCCAGTAAGAATGATATCATTAAAAATCTTGGTGATGAGTTGGACATAAAATGGCATTTTATTGCGTAATACTCTCCTCATCAAGGAGGAATTTGGGAAGCAGGCATTAAATCTTAAAATTGCATTTGTATAAGATCCTAACAGCTTCTCCAACAGTGTTTACCTTTGAAAGTTTTTGTACCATTAACACAAATAAAATGTATTTTGAATTCAAGACCTTTTACGAAATTGTCAAGGGATTTAGACGTATTAACGCCATCGCATTTTTTAATCGGTCGGTGTTCTCGCTCTATTCCTCAGCCTGATCTAACAGACACCCCAACCAATAGACTCACCCTTTTTGAAAATATTGTGAAGCTGAAACAGCAATTTTGGAAAAGGTGGTTTTGTGATTCTGTACACGAACTACAACAAAGACAAAAGTGGAAAACACAAACTAGAAATCTCGCAGTTAATGATTTAGTGTTGATCCATGATAACGATATACCCTGCTTTAAGTGGCTTTTGGAACGCGTGTGCGAAATTTATCCGGGACACACCCAACCGTTCTTCAATTATTGTACCTAAAGTGGGTTTTCTGTTCTATTAAATCGTTGTTAAGTTCAGACCAGCCTTTTTTTCTTATTCCTAAACCTACAGTCCACTCATTTATCACGTTTTAGATCAAGTTGAAGGCAACCTCTGCAAAATATCTAGTAAATTCTGAACCAGAGAGCCGGCTAACCAGACCAAGTGAACCTACATTATCCAATCAACTCAATCGATGTTCAAATTGACATTATATGATCATAGTATAGGAACCTTTCATGAATTTTTGAGCAATATAATATGAATATTAGAAAAAATTATCTATGTTCACACATGCGTCTAAATAGCACAAAAATAGGTGTTCCATTACTTACAGTGCTAGTAGTATGTTTAAGTTCAGCCATAGAAACAGCGTTATAAGTCGTTATAGGATCCTGAAGACTAACTAAATCAGGCGTAATTTCCGCCAGTCGTTTCTCATAGTTAAAAATGTCTTTGCCAAATTTGACAGCGTTATTTTTGGTGCTACTCAACGATATCACAACGTCTTTAATATAGTCCGTGTATGCAGTCAAAATCTAAAAACAAAAGCCTTGAACTAAAGGATTTCAAAAAATTGCAACTTCCTTACAGGATCCTCAGTATCTCGAAAATAATATTCCTTGTCAGGTAGTCCTAATCCGGATGGTGAGATTCTGATGCTATTAGCGTCGGGTTCGAGAGGATCCGGTTCCACGTGGATTTTGAAAAAAGCCGACACACCATAGCGCACCTGGAGCGTATTGAGAACTTGCATCCCATTGAAGTCCTCATCGTTCCAATCCCGTAAAATGTACCAGCCACCTGAAAAATTTCGGTTTCGTTATAGTAGGCCAGACAAACTGTACGCAATTTTACTTTCGATCTTAAATTATTATTACAAAGGCCGAATTTATACGCGCAATTAGCGCCTGACATAAGAGTTGCAAAATTTCCCATAAAATACGCGGCGACGGTTAAAAGGAAAATAATTGTGGCGAGAACGAAACGAAAATACCCCGAAATATTTTGAAATCGCTTCTCGGTACAAAGTTCCGCAAGAGGAACATTCCTTTTTACTTTCTTTTCAAGGATGAGAAACATCATTTGAATCGCTAAAGATTTTATTATCTTATGATGGTTATTAGATGTAGATATATGTATTGGAAATCAGTGAAGTACTTCTGCTTCTTATTATAAGAACAAATTTACAAACTGTAATTTGACCAGAAAGGAACGGAAAAAGTAACTATTGCTTTTCATGGGTTTGGTTTACAAAAATCAAATTTCGAAGAAACTAGTGACAAAATAGGAACTCAAAATCCCATAGGATGGCAAATTCAAGTATTCAAAACAATAATTTGGAAGTTCTACTGAATCAAAATCAAGAAAAAGTGAGACCCTCGTTGACTCATTGAATACGAAATTTTGAAATTCTAAAAGTACAACACAAAGAAATTGATGTGTTATTAGAACTCACAAACTATGCGCTCTATATACAAAACTACTCTACAGAAAAATCTCTAGAACATTCTCGGTCATGTAAAAAACCATCAAAGAAAAACCAGACATTCAAGAACAAGGTTGGTACGCCTCTGTCATAAAGTCGATATGCTTACAATAGATCGTGTAGGAGTCAACAAAAGACAAACGATCATAGATTTATCCGAATTTGAAAGCTTAATTGTGCCCAAATCATACTAAGATTTGCATACATTTAATTTCGCCAATCTTACACACACCCAAACTATTTTTTTCTGTGCTATACCGAGAGAAGAAATTTCTTCAATTCCGAACCTAATATGCATAAAATTGTCAACTTAATGTTGTTATTCGATTCGGTAAAGTGTAATAGCGAATTTCTCTTTTTTAGTATTATGATTATATTTGTAATGAATTGAACTATTAGTTCGGATGATGTCATGTCTTGGCAGAAAGTTTAAGAAAAGTGGAATATTTCTATGCATGGTGAAATTGCATTTGCCCACAAGTAATTACCATCAGCTGCAAAATAATAAAATAGCAGGTGCAATTTTAAGTCACCTGTGGTGGGATTTTAAATAAAAATGCCGCACATCTACATTCATTTATAGCCAAAATTCCAAATACATAATACAATAATTCAACTTCAAAATGTTAATTTCAAAAACCTTAGAGATGTGCTCAAACTACTTGGTTGAGAATAGAAATATGTAGTTACGATTTTACAAATGTTTCCGGCCTGGTAAGCCATACAAGGCTAGCCAATATCGTCCACTTTCGATCACATTGATACAAATCCGCCAAGTACGGAGGCCAGGCGTACCCACAGGCTAAAAGGTGAAAGAGATGTCCGAAAAATTTCTCCGAAAAAAATTATTGTGGAAGAACGATACCACATAATACATGTTTTATTTGAAATAAGTTTCAATTTTGAAAAAATTTGATTCAAAAGCCATTTTTTTTATATGGCAAAATCTATGCAAATAGATATTACGATTGAGAAAAATATTAGTCAATCTACATGCAAAAATTATGGTTGTGTAAAAGAAGAAAGTATGCGCGACGCCGCCCGCCTAATATTTTGGGCGCGATCTTCCGAGGCGGGTACTCGATCTTCAAGGAAAAAGGGGGGTCAGTATGGGGATCCGAAAAAACTGTTCCGCTTATAAAACCGAAGGGGTCAACCGAAATTAGCCAAAACTTCCGGGTTTTCTGAAACGGTCGTACGGTAGTTGGTACCGAGCCGCAATCGCAATGAAAATAATTTTGGTAAGTACCATATTTACCAACATTATGGGATATATAGTGTAAAAGTGAATCAATAATTTTTCTTTATAATGTGGAGTGCCTGAAGTATTCAAACTGAGGTCTATTTATTTTCAAAGTGGCAATATTGCATGTAGTGTTCATCTAAATCAACCAAACTGACCTTACTTATTGCATAGGTACCTATTACATTTGTTCATTGGTTGTGCAAAATGTACACATGTAATAAACTAACTATATAATTTTCCATTGGAAAAATCCAGAAGCAAAATAACCTCAATTCTCTATTATTTGATAAATATGTCTCAAAGTTCCTTCTCAATACTTGCTCAGACTCATTTGCATTTTCACAAACTTCCCTTACTTTCTTTGCACTTCCTTGGGAGTAAGGTGGAGGCAAAAAAACAGATTTACCCCAAAAAAAAGTGTACGAAGCTTTTGTCACTCCGCCTAGGTATAAATTGTTTGTGTAGACCATCAATTGACAAAATGCCACAAATTAACCGATCTTCTTCTTCTATTCCAGATAATTCCTGCCATTTTGGCAATAGCAACCGCTCGACCAGAACCACCTTCAGGCTACAACTACCCGGCACCCTCTGGTCCACTTTTAACTCTACCAAGCCCAGGTCCGAGTATCGGAGGCTCCCATGGAATATCCGACATCAACCAAATCAGCCTAACAACCTCAGGTGGTGGCAGTAGTTGTAATCATTGCTCCGGAGGCAGTTACGGCGGCTCGGGCGGTTTCACTGCTAGCACCTCATTCGGTTCCGGAGGATTGACCTCTGGAGGAAGCAGTCTTGGTTCGTTTGGATCGGGATTAGGCAGCAGTCATAGTTCATTTGGTTCAGGATTAGTATCCGGAGGCAGCAGTCATAGCTCCTTTGGTTCTGGATTAGTATCCGGAGGCAGCAGTCATAGCTCCTTCGGTTCTGGATTAGTATCCGGAGGCAGCAGTCATGGTTCATTCGGATCGGGATTAGGAAGTAGTCATGGTTCATTTGGATCAGGATTAGGAAGCAGTCACGGACTAATTTCTGGTGGATCCAGCTTCAGTTCATTCTCTGGCGGCTCTGCGTCCTTAGGAGGTGGTCCTCTAGTGCAAAAGCACATTTACGTTCACGTACCACCGCCAGAACCTGAAGATTTGAGACCGCAACGCATCGTTCCAGTGGCTCCCGCTCAAAAACACTATAAAATTATCTTTATCAAGGCGCCATCTGCTCCTGCGCCTTCTCTCCCAGCTATTCCGCTACAGCCTCAGCACGAAGAAAAGACTTTGGTTTATGTTTTAGTGAAGAAACCTGAAGAAGCTGCAGAGCTTAACATTCCAGCTCCAATTCCTACACAACCAAGCAAACCAGAAGTTTACTTTATCCGTTACAAGACCCAAAAAGAACACGGTGGTGCCTCATTATCTGGAGGTTCTTCCAGTTTCTCAAGCAGTTCATTGGGAGGCCTTGACGCATCTCTAGGAGGTGGTTCGTTGTCACTTGGTGGTGGTTCAGGAAGCATCAGCGGTGGTGGATTGGGTTCCTTCTCTTCTTCGTCATCGTCTCATGGATCGAGCAGCAGCTCCTTCATTTCGGGTGGATCCAGTGGAGGTTTGAGCACCTCTTATGGACCACCAGGACATGTTCCCGGGCCCTACTAGTGTTTTTAAGAAATTGTGATGTTGAGGTCGAAAAAGTGGTTGACGAACTATTCATTGTGTATATAGAGCCATACTAGTTTGTAGTTTTCGCGCTTTTATGTTCTCATGTTTGTAGACTTTGCGTTTTACCATTCATTAAATTATTTGGTTTGAAAAAAAATACGGTGACAAATCATATTAGTTGTAGGTTTTATTTAAAAATAAATTATTTTTTCTATTAAACGTGTGTAATTTTTTTTTTTTCAAGATTTTCATAATTATTCCTCAGTATTATGAGGGACTAAAAATAAAATTGAAAAAAAATCGTTTCTCAGCCAAACGAAAATGCAAAAATCTGATACACTTATAAATCATCTTGGGAAGAATTTGTTCAAATTACATACAGAACAAACCCATCACTTGATTTCTCAATAAGTGGTTTTTCATGTTTAACAGATGGAAACTGTCTGTCGAGCCAGCTTTGTTTTAAAACCAGCCTTTTATATGTATAATAATTAATGAGGCCCTATTAATACACTATAGAAAATGAATAATTAAATCTTCCTATATATGCACTTTAAAACAGACAGCTAAGTTGGATAATGTCAGAATACATCCTTGTGAATTAACTCTAATACCTATGATGTAACGAGTTAATTTTTTTTTTATTTCTAGGAGCTCTTTTTCTAAATCAAATGGGACTGAAGTTTAAGTTGACGCGTTTTTCTATTATGAAAACAATGAATGAGTTTCAAGACTTCAATTAAAAAATATTGAAAAGAAAACTTTCTTATTTATTTCGAGTGAATATCATTACTGTCAAGAGTTTATGAACAGCCACATTATTTAAAGAGAAAATGGTGTGTTTTCCTATTTCTTTCAACTTCTTCTATACTTGTTGCCCTCTAAGTGGTTGCTGGACAGTTATCTTTATTCTTCTTCAAGGATTTTAATCCTAAGTTCATTACATATTACTTATTTCTTCTGGAAAATAGAAAAGTTCCAAAAGAAAAAATGTATGGACATCGCAAAGTCGTGTAGCTATTCTAACTAAAAAGAAATTTTTTCTTCATCAGAAGCTCTTTTACAACTTCCTGAAGGCAAATAGGAGAAAGTTACAATGACTGTACATTATTGATGATTGATGATCACATGATAACTGGAGGAAGTTCCTTGGGAAGATTTGCCAGCAACTGTGTTGAAAATCGTTGAGCAAATTCTGAGCTGAGCAATAAATGACCGTATTGATTTTCCTGTACTAGTGAGACTTCAACCAGTGATTTTCAGAGTAGATTATTTTAGACTGAGCAAGAGAAATGTTGATCTATTCTATTGCACAAGAGACATGCACTGGATTCCTTTCCTGCAAAACAAATTCCCAATTGAAAGATTCACAGAATTCCTCACTCAAAGTTCTCTTTTCTTTAAAAAGTAAGTTATCGAGTACAAAACACTTTGCAATAGAAAAATATATAATCGATTATTATTGGGGCAACACAAACAACCAATATTTACCAAAAAAAGAAAATTAACATGTATTGGATTATGTATTTATAAGCTTAACACGGGTTAAACAAACATCACAAGTTTGTCGTAAAATTCAAATTAGACATTATTATTATACGATTGCTTTTGCCCAACTCTAGTTTTATAATATTTGTTTTTGAGAAAAATTAACAAACGGCTTTCTCTGATATAGGCCCATAAATACTCTTCAGATGACCAATTATGAGTTTAGTATTTTCTGGTGTGTCGTCTGAGTGTTACCAAAAATGATCAATAGGTGTATTTCAATAATTGTATGTAATTTTGTGTATGTTGTAATAATTTCTAATTAGTTTCTTTCCAGTGCCTGTTTTCACTTATCTTAAATGCACAAGCCAGGCCAGAGCCACCCTCGCCTTACACATATTTACCACCATCGATAAACCAGAATAATGTATGGGCCCAAAATCAACAACAACAACAAGTCCCAATTAATTCTTATGGAACACCAGTTTTGACAACTTCTAATCAAGTATCGAATATTGCACCAAACAGGTAACAATTCTCGTATTTTTCGATTGTTTCCCATCTGTGAAATGTTTGATTGAAATTTTATTAAATGCTTCTGAACAAGCTGCAATGACTTTATGATGATTAAATAATACCAGTATCAATTCACATTTTATTATTTTTGGATATACTAGAAATTATGGCAGTCCAGATCTGATTTATTCCAATCAATCGCCGGCTGGTGCTTTAACAACTTTACCATCCCCATCTTTGGGAACTGTGCAGAAACACATTTACGTGCATGTGGCGCCGCCTGATGTCGACGAAGAACGAATTCAAAGGGTAAGAAAGATAAAAATAAAATATATAAAAAAGTCAATTCATTCTTGTAAACCTTAACATTTAAGAAATTATATAACATAATATATATTGGTTTTTGAATTTGTTTTATTTCCAATTTTTTGGACTTTTTAGTGTAACTCAGACACTTTTGATAGAAAATATTTTCTTTAATAATTTCTAGCTACAGCAAGCAGCCTCAGCTCAAAAACACTACAAAATAATTTTCATCAAGACCCCTACCTACTTGACACAGGCCGAATACGCTCAACAACAACAGCAATCGTTGCAACAAGAAAAGACCCTCATCTACGTCCTGGTGAAGAAACCAGACGATCCGCTAGAAGTGAGGGCCAATCAAATAGCTCAGCAAGCTTCGATCAACAAACCTGAAGTGTACTTTATTAAGTACAAAAGTAAAGTACAAAAAAGCGTTGCTGATAGTGGGGATAATAATGATAATGATTCAGTGGTTGTGGATAATTCGCTTATCGGAAATAATGTGCAAAGTCAGAATCAAGGCTATCAATATAATCGTCCTAGAGAGATTTTGAAGTGATTTGTTTAGGTATATGTATTATATTTCATGTTTTTTTATCTACAAAATATATATTTTTTTACCAGTAATATAAGGCACGTGATTCATTATCTTTATCTGTTTTGTCTTCGACTCCTTCATCATTTATTAATTTATTTTTAAAGGTTTTTTAGCATCATTTGCATCTTTAGTGCCTTCTTAGGCATTGGAGGTATCAATTTTTTCAATTTGGTTTTTTCTCCTTTTGTTTAAGTTCCTGTTTCTTTAGCCGCTTTTTGTTTCTCGACTTAGGACCGGTTTATCACTGGACGGTTACTTAGTTTAGCTTTCAGTTAACTAATAATTATCATTAGTTAACCGACAGCTAAACTAAATAACCGTCCACTGATAAACCGGTTCCTAGTTGCTTGTTGTTCCGTTTCAATGGTCTATTGTATATTGCACATAAAGGTATTGTATACAGGGTGGCCCAGAGAAAACGCATTCACAACTTTCAAGGGCGATTGGAGTCTTGGAGATTATCCAACGTGAGTAGAAATTATTACGTTCTAGTGACCCTGATAAGATAATATGTCAATTGCTGTTCCAGAACTTAATGGAATTTACTCGTTTTCAAAATCCCTAAGGGGTGAATTTATAGTCGCTCCTTGAGGTTCCCTCAGACCTTAAGGAAGCCTTGAACGTTTAGAATTGACATGACTGTAACTTGTCAAATTGTAGCAAGTGTCTATTCTAATCTCACAACCTTCAAAGAAGAGGAAGAGTCAAGGAACGACTATAAATTCGGCCCTAAGACAACAATCCACTCGTGGAAAAGTCAGTAAAAAATTATAGTTTGAGATTATTCAACGTTAATAGAGATTATGATTTCTCTGGTAACCCTGATAACGAGTAAATCGAATTAATCGCTGTTCCAGAACTCACTAGAACAATGCTCGTCCCGCAGCCATCTACTCGCTTTAAAGTGCTTAAGACCAGGCCCGGATTGGGCCGACGAGTTACCGAGTGAAACTCGGTGGGCCGGTCAACTTCGGACTTTAGTAGGTATATCACTCACTCTACATTATTAATATTTTGAGAGATGAATTAAATTTTCCTTGTAAAAGTCTATATTTTTGCATAAATGGCTTTTCTTCTAAGATGCCAGGAGAAAGCGTGACCTTGAAAATTTTAAAAATTTACGCCTACAGCGCTATTAGGAAAGGGAAAATTATAAATATCCCACTTGTGTAGGCCGATATAAGAACTCCAACTCGAGCCGAAAAAATGTCCCATTCCGACCATGTTCAACATAAAAACTTCATAAAAACATAATTTTATCTGTATTTTTGAATTTGAGTCATTTTCTATTATTATTCTCTATGCGAGCGTACGCAAAACTCCAACTTTTCGAATGCATTTTAGGTCATATGAAAGTAGGTATACATATTACTTTTCCGCACTACAGTACCGCATTTTTTATAATAATAATAACTTTCCTGTCCTAACTCGTACGGAAAGTCTCTTTTTCCTACCAACTGCAATCGCGTGCAGAAAATTGACACTTTCCGCACTAAAAGATAACTCAAATAAAGATCCATATCCCTTTCGGGTTTCATGTTTTGCCTCAAAGGTGGCAGTCGTATCGGTTCTGCTGTCAGAGGTCTGAATGGCATTTTCCAAATTTTTAGTGCAAAACAAGTGGTTTTTGTATAATTTTTCATAAAAAATTCACGTTTCAAAAACAATCAAAGTAGGCTTTTTGGACGGCCATTTCAAAGTCGGGCAATCCAATCCCTATGGCGGCCATGGTCAAACAATGAAGGATTTTATTTACCTTCAGACGACCGTGACGTTTGGTTATCATAAAACTGGTCTAGTGCTTCAGAAGGATAATTTTTCTAGTTTCGTAGTGTATAAACACAAAATACAAACATATCACAGATGTTTGACCGTTGCCGCCATATTAAATTTGTGTTTTGACAAGTCGTTGGACTGCCCTATTGCATTTTGGTAGTTTTAGACAAAAAATAACGTTTTTTTGTGGTGCAAGTAATTGAATTTTTGTAAATTTTTAAAGAAAATCTGATTTTTCATCAAGAAAAATGAACATTTTCCGTTAGCTAACTTCCCGTTTCGAAAACATCAAAGTAGGATTTGGACGGCCATTTCATTTCAAAATGAATTGATCCAACCAAGGATAATACACATTACTTCTACAGGATAGCCTATCCTCATAAGACCTGTGTGGAACAAATCTGAAGCCCCCCACTATGCCAAATTACCAGTTGTGACGTAGACAGCATGTCCTTTTTCGCCTTGACGTAGGCTGTTTGCACGACAGGATAAGATTCCGCGGGCTTTTGCCCCATGCATACTTAGTTCTACTACATTAATCAACATTCTAAAACAACTCTTTTTTTGATCTCGTTGTCATCTTCCTCTTTGCCTATTATGTAAATCAAAATTAAATAATACTTTTCTTCGTAAATTTAAATTCTAAACTACGACCTCTAGTGCAAACAGCTGACGACTTGTTAATGTGGTCGGAAATGGTGACACAGCAATATGGCGGCGATTACCAAAAACGAGGCCGATAAGCCAAGGTTGTTTGAGAGGAGAAAGTTGCCTGATAACTTTATGACGTCATCTGGGGTGCCTCAACATAATGCAAATCTCCATAAGGCACCCCAGATGCGTCATCAAGTTACCCATTACCAGGCAACCTATTAATTTTAGAAACCTTGCGATAAGCAATCTTTTAGTAGTGTGCATTAGCCCTGCAATCCAACGACCTGTCAAAACATAAATTCAATACGGCGACAACGCTCAAACATCTGTGATGTGTGTTTGTTTTTTTGTTTACACACTACGAAAATACGCGTAAATTATCGTTTTCTAGCAATAGAAAATCCCCTCAAAAATCCACAAATTACACACAGAGAAAAGTTTTATACGATATTTTTGGCGCCAATTCCATTGTTTGACCATAACTGCCACATTGGGTTTTGATATTTCTATACATAAACATACATCGCAGATGTTTACCGTTGCCGCCATATTGAATTGATGATTTGACAGGTCGTTGGGCTGCCCTATTGCGTTTTGTTAGTTTTATACGAAAAAGAACGTTTATTGGGGTGCAAAGTGCGAAGAATTGAATTTTGAAGGAAAATCTAATTTTCCATCAAATAGAGTGAAAATTATTCATTAGCTAACTTAACGTTTAAAAACATCAAAGCAGGCTTTGGGCGGCCATTTTAAAATTGTGTTTTTTGGCCGTCATTTGTTTTTCTCGAATATATTCCGAATTTCAATAGATTTCAGTGCGGAAAATGTTTCTTGTGATACGAGGAAATGGATTTTCCATAAGCGGCAAGTTAATATTTAAATGAAGAGCCATTTTTTATAGAAAATATTCCCATGGTAAGTGGAAGTTGTCATATTAGCTACAGTGGCGTCAATTGCTGTCCTATTTTTGAAATCCTATAATGTTCATATTGAAAATTGGCAAGAATGTGGCGCCAAGGGCCTGGCTTACTATATTCACCAATGGAATATTTAAAATTAGCAAAAATATGGCGACAAAACCTCTATTGTCGCCTCTGTAAAGGTGTATTGAGTCCCTGTAATATCAGCTAACTTCACCTTTCGAAATAAACATCAAAGTAGGCTTTGGGCGGCCATTTTGAAATTGTGTTTTTCAAGAAAAATGGCCGTAGTAGACATTGGCTCTGGTTTTTCTCGAAAACTACTCACTTTGGATAATTTAAAACTATAGGTGATTCCTAAGGACCGGTTCATTCATCTTCTGATAAACTTGCTGTAACTATCTGCAAAATAAATTCACCGTTCCCTAATTCTATTGGTCGGAAGATAACTGGACGACCAATGGGATTACAGTTTGCGTTTTTATCCGCCAGATTGCATACCTGACAGTTTATCAGAAGGTGGATAAACCGGCCCTTAGTGATTTATTTACTAGATTGCTGCGAGACATTATTTTCCATCATCAATTTAAAAGTGCTTAGCTGTAATTTAAACAGAACTATCATGTAAATAAAAATTTCTTATACTTACGTGAAAAGTGAACCACCACCCTGTATATAAGAAACTTTGATATAAGCAATGACATAAGCGACATTTTACTGGTTTTACTATTAGACGAGTCCAGACATAAATTCTATCAGAGGCTCGTTGGTCTAGGGGTATGATTTCCGCTTAGGGTGCGGGAGGTCCCGGGTTCAAATCCCGGACGAGCCCAGTAACTTTTTTTTAATTTTCACGATTTTAAATTATGACTCTCGACTGCAATGACTTTTTTTTACTTCTTATGCAATACTTAATGATTATTCTCATTTTAAAATTCATTAACCTCAATAATCACGACATTTTTATTTGGAATAATCCACACTTTTATCTATCTAGATTCTACACGAGGCATATAAAACAATGTATCATTGTCTAGAATATAGAGAAGCTACACAATTGGTGCAATAATTTCTACTCTTTCTGCTCTCCTAATTCTCTATCCTTCCACCCCTATTTCGTTTGGGCGCGAAGGTTTGCAGTTGAAGGGCGGCTGCAAAAAGGGTCTCTCACAACAAAGTTCAACCCTACACTTTCTATCGACTTTCTCTCTATCTCTGCAAGCCTGATATTTGACAAAAACAAGGGCGGAACTATTGTAAGAACGACACAGAATTTTTATGTCTATTTAGTTGGTTTAACGCGAAAATAAATGTCATAATATTTCCTCAGTTCTTATTACTGAAATCGTAATGTAAAATTTCTTGTACAAAGTAAAGCCGGGTTCAAGTGGAGTTATTTCGGGAAAAGCTTTTAACCCATACTAGATATGATCCATTTGGTTTTTGATTTCTTATAAATAAACTTCACTAATAACAACCAATAAATATCAATGAAAAATGTTTTATTAGTAAACCATAACATTCTATTTTCACTTGGCTTTGGGTAAAATCAATAATAATTATCCAATGTTTGTTTAATTGTTTCTGGATTATTGGAATTTAATAGTAAACATGTTTCAATAATTTTTCTTTCGTGGAAATTTCAAATCAATTGAATAAGAAAAAATATTTGTCATAGCATGCTTCACCCAAGACTTATCTCCGATATTTTTTCAATTCACTAGAGTGGATGTTAGTACAAACATTGACAATTGGGAGAATTTTTGCAATTTCTCTATAATTTCCCCAGAGAAAGCTGCTTAAAGCATATTTTTAACCAGGCCAACAGAAAATATAATAAAGCAAAATCGCCTTTCTAAAAAACCGTTCCATTTCGAAAGTGAACAAAGGGAATCCTTATTTAGAAAGTTCAGGTAACAGGAATCCATAAACTCTAAGAGCCACAAATAGAGCTATGAAAGAGTGATATAGAGACCAACGTGCTCTAAGTGGGAGAATTTGTAAACAGCAGATTAGAAGTGCACAGAGCTTTTGAGCTCTAGAGTCTTTTAGAGGGGCGCGTATCGATTTTAATTTAAAAAAAAAAAACTTCCATCGATGACCGCATCGGGTGAAAGTAAACTTTTGGTTTCAGTCATACCAGTTAAAAATAAATGGGTACCGGTTCCGACTCAATTTCTTCTCGGTCCGTTTTACATTTACATATTATCGTGAGCAATAAATTATAATATAAGACAACATGATGTCCCCACCATTGGCGTAGATTAAGTTTTATTTGAAGATGTTCTACCATTGTCTGTGGAAAAAGAGCTATAGAGAAAACAGCCAGAAAATGGAGGCAAAAAAGCTAGAGTATAAAGATCACCATGGAGTACACTTCTAATGTATAATGATTTTATAGAGGCATCGATTGTATCACTATAATAGTCTTAAAGCAAATAATATGAGTTTGATGGCATAGTATAAAAATCAAGGTCTTGCAAATACTTATAAATAGGTTAATTCAACAAATAAATATCAATTTCAGCAACTTGAAACTCACAAGAAGGTCAATAAACATTTTTATTCTCAAATCAACAAATTTACATTTCAAATAAGCCATTGTCAGCTGTATAAATATGAGCACTTTTATATACTAGATACGCAAATCAGATATTTACTTACCCAATTCTGAAATAATATTGGTCAAAGGCCTGGCACCGTCCGAAGCAATACTGTCAACGTCCACACAAGCTTCGTAAAAATGCTTCAGCTTCCATTCCACTGTGCCAGTGTGCAAGGGCAACTCCAAAGTCGATATTACATTTCGTAATCTTTCAGATTCTACACACAAAAACATCAGTCAAATGAATTTTGTTTGGCTTGGCTACAATTACAAACCTTTCTGAATTAAAATTTCCTTTTGATTCCAAACTGGCCTGTCTAAAGGTCTCGCGGATTTTCCATTGTAATGCGAACACACGGATTCCCATAAGTTTGTACACGATGTAGATGAATAGTTTAAGTTTTCTTGTATCTAAAATAAGAATGAGTTTGATCTGCCACACTTGCCACAATTCTTTCAAGTTTAAAAATATGGAAATGAAATGTTTCATATGCTAGGGAGAACACTTAAAATTTGTTTATCAAAGTTTGACAGAATCTATAAACATTTATATTGGCAAGAATGCTTTTGTGTGTATGTTTTTAATAAATAGAGGACTTTAAATTGTCTCTTAAGACCAAAATTAAGTTTAAATGAATGCAAATATTGCAAGGAAAAATGTCCTGGATAGTTTATGTCAATACGAGTGTCAATATTAAATTAAAATAATCTGCAGAGGACTTTGAAACCTTTAAGCTAATCTTAGCTTTTTAGCCATCAGCATTTCTCCCATACAAATATTTATCATTGCAAACTACGTACACACACTACTCAGATTACCACAGTATGATTATATTTCGCTGACTAATTTTTATCAAAGCTAGCTTATACAATAAAGCCAAGATTGTTAATAGAAAATTTTAAAAAATTCTTACCTGTGCTGCTGCTCTTAAGCATTCTGGACTTTTACACAAAGGATATCTATACGTATGCGGTAATTTGGGCCAACCAATCGTCATTCCAATAATCACTAATAAAAATATCGCAGTTGCAACAACAAGGCTGCACAATATAAGCACCCAGTTTCTAGTTAAATGCGTTTTCTCTTGTAAATTTGAAATGTATTTTTCTAAGAATGGCAGTTTGGTTTTTTTGGGTTGTTTCAGGTCCAGGCAAGCATCGGTTTCAGTCAAGTCGATTTCAGTCTCTACATTGCCATTTGTGGCTGTTGTCCCATTGTTTTCAGGCATTTCGGATTGGTCGTTTGTCATTATTGAAAAATGAATGTTTTAATCCAGTGCCAGTTTAATGGTATTTTTCGCATTGCAAATTTAATGCTGCAACAAAAAATAGCTAATAGTAACTAGGGCAATTAATTTTTATTATAATAATAATAACAATAAAGATATCAGTGCTAATAAAGTGTGATGTAACTATACAGAGGATACTTTTGTTGATTTATTATTGCTGATTTTATGGATGTTTGCTTTTAGTAGCTAACATGTGATCCTTATAAATATGTATTGAACCTAAAATTACCAAAATATTTTATTGGGCCTTGTAATGAAGCCTTTAGCTTATAAGATATTTATAATTTGCCAATTATACTTACCCCGTACCTACCCCTTTGGATTCTTATTTCAAAATCTTTAAGCTTCAATATGTTGATATCAAATCTATAGTTTTTGAGAAAATTGTGTTTGAAGTTTTTAACTACATTTTAACTAAAATTCAACTTTGAGGCTCAACTGCTCAAAAAGTATTTGAGCTATCAAACTTAATTTGGTACAGATTTATAGAGAATTTAATGCTTTTTTTAATAGTGGATTTTTTATTTTGATTTGTTCAAATTTTATTGGAAATATTGGCAATTTTTCTTAACCTTGTCCTGATTCAAAAAAAAAATCAGAATCAAAAAAAAGAAATTTCTTTTTCATTTTTTTTCCCTTCAAATTGGTCATTTGGAAATGATGTCAGGATTTTATTCGACTAATTTGGAAAATATAAAAAATAAACATTTCAGAGCAGGTACGCCTTTGGATTCTTATTTCAAAATATTTAAGCTCCAATATCTTGAAAATGATTTCCAGGAACTGTAGCTCCTACGAGAGCTCCTATTAAGCGCTAAAAGACCTGAAGGTAAGGCTTGAGGTACCAGGTATTGGAAAATATTTTCAGATTTATAGTTTGTAGGAAAATTGAGTTTGAAATTCTCAACTAAAATTCAACTTTGAAGCTTAATTGCTCAAAAAATAGTATTTGAGCTATTAAACTCAATTTAACACAGATTTATAGAGAATTTAATGCTCTTTCCAATGATGTATAATTTATTTTGATTTGTTTAAATTTTCATGGAAATATTGGCAATTTTTCTTAACCTTGTCATGATTCGAAAAAAAAAATCGGAACTAAAAAATGAAATTTTCTTTAATTTTCAATTTTTGTTTACTTAGGTATATCTTATATATAAGTTCTTGAATCATTTTAAATATAGGTAAGTGAAAAAGCAAATTCAAAGTAAAACTCATGAATTTGGAATTAAAGAAAAAATAAGAAAATTTAAGTGCCTGAAATAGACAAAAATCGAGACAAAAATTAATGGCCGTTTCCACCAACTATTTTAGGGGAGCCCTCGAAGGAGCCTTCAATAAGTATTCCTTAAACTGACATTTCGCCATGTGAAAATGTCATTTTAGGGAATACTTATCGTTAAGGCTCCCCTAAAATAGTTGGTGGAAGCAGCCGTAAGACAAATAAATGTGTAAAAGAGCAGAAAATATTTCAAAAAATTGAGAAAAAAATGTATCACGCCTCATTGACTTACGGTTGTGTATAAAATGTGCTCCATTAAGTACATGTGCAGTAAAAACCATATTGTGATATCAACTTATGCAATGTACAAAATATTATCTACAACATTTTGAATACACATATTGAATGCTAATAATATGTTTAATAAACTTGTATCCTCGCTTGTATCCTAGAGATATTGTAGATAACACTATAATCTAATTGTTGTGGTGAAGGATGTGATAAACTCAGGGATTAGTTATTATACAGGGTATCCGGAATAACTTGGGGATATTGGAACCATTGAAGATACAGGGTGAATCAAATGCGGAAAAAGTTGTGCAATCAAGTGCCTATAAATAATATGTCATCAACTTCTTTGAACTAGGGAATAGCAACGGATATACATATAGGGCATCAAAGAAAAAAGTGTGTTTTATAAAATCCCCTCGAAAATCCCTTATTGTTTATTAAAAGGTACAATCAAAAAATTTCCAAAGTAGGTGTAGGACTGATGGCCATTTGCACGGCTACCACTCAACTATCACTTAAGGGATATTAAATGTAGGTGAAGCTTTGAATGTGACTTTTGTTTCTACAAGAGTCACATTGAAAGCATCACTTGGATTAAATATCCCTTAAGTTACAGCGGTGCAAATGGCCGTGAATGTAATGTATCTATTATCCGTTCACAATAGGCTCGTACAGCATATTTTTTTTATTACATATTCTGAAAGAGCGTATTGAGTTTAGCAGTTGTGCAAAATTTCATAATTTTCCGAGCCCTTGTTCATATTTAAATAAATTATCAAAACGCTCCAAATTTGAAAGTTTTGAAACACGCGGTGACGTCACTGCATCTCTCACGTTGGTCGTGTGACGGCCTTTAGCCCGTCTTGACTCGAGAGATGACGTCATACCATCTCTAAGCGATGAATTTCTGAGGCAAAATGTTTTAATATTCAAAGCAGCATAAGTTTTTTAATATTTATCCAATTGAGCTGAATTTTTGTGTGTGTGCTATATGTGAGTAATACTCCATAAAAATATCAAAAAACGTGGTTAATGAAACTTCACTGAACGAGCCTATTCGATGTCCACAGGTACAGGTAAAATTTATCACCTTTCAATGCTATTTGATAGGGAAAGGTGATAAATTTACCTGTACCTGTGGACATCTGATTCTGAACAGGATATACACAAGTAATGTAATGTACCATCGTCACCAAAAGTATCTGGGACACAAATAATGCATAATAATCTCCTGGACTAATTTTACTGTCATTCATTTCAATGCATTTAATCCATAGTTTGACAAATATTTGACAATAAAATTTATATAATAGGACAAGAGCTAATGTGATGCTGTCCCAGTTACTTTTGGTGACGATGGTACATACAGTACAGGGTATCAAGTTATAAAGTTATGAAGTACCACCCCCAGTAACTTTTTTATTTTTGATTGTACATAAAAAAGTTACAGTGGGTGGTACTATATAACTTGACACTCAGTACCTCACCCAGTACAATACAAAGAATTTAGAAAAAACACTTTTCAATTTTTTTGCAGTTTGTTGCCCTGTATATTCGTTGCTATTCCGAGTTCAAAGAAGATGATGACAGAATTTTTGTAGGCACTTGATTGCCCAACTTTTTTTCCATTTTTTTTCATAATGGTTTCCAAAATCTCCTTGTATGTACTTTTAGTTATTCTGGACACCCTGTATAGGTATTTAGTATTTTAGAGCCTACATATTTGATTTTTACCTCGATTTTTACCAATAATAATTTATTGCGAGAAAAACCGTTAAGCTGAAAGGCAACTTATTCATTGAGGTTTTAAGGCTTCAAAAATGAATTCTGCCATAATTTTAGGGGTGGATGTTTGGTTAATTGGGGGTGATTCATGTGGTTTATAATTATTTATACCTAATAAATTAAAACATCTCAACTCTATTTTGTTTAAAGTTTATATTCAGAAAATATAAAAACTCAATGGTACTTTGCCATTCAACAAAAATCAAATTAAATCCACTACATTGGTACCACCTGTTGAAAAAGGTGATTAACCTGTTGAATATAATATGGAGAAACTCAAAACACAACGATTCGTTACCTGGTTTTCCTTGAACCTGGTTCTTCAACTTGCGAAAACTTTCACTTGAATCCACACACACACGCACACCACAAAATATTTTTTTTCTACCGGGGGTACTTCGCTTTGAGGAACCTGCAACGCCGCAACGGTACTACTACTAAACCGCTTCTTGGTAAATCACAACAGAAATTTTCAGCGAAACAAAAAAGTTCGTACAGAGCGAGTACCGGTAAAAGTGACTGCGTCGTACCAACACACAACACAATTTGATTTGAAAAGTTTTGTTTTTATTTTGAAGTTTGGGTCAGTTGAAAAGTTTGTGTTTGTGTCGTTTGAAGCGGGCTTTTTTAAGGAGTCGGGAATGGTTGTACTAATTTTACACTAGAGAAATTTTATTTTGAATTTATTAATTTATTGAATTTGCGTGTTTACTTTTTGTGCCCAACGGAATAGAAATTCTTCATTCAATTTACTTCCTCTAGTAAAATGTAAAATAAAAGGAAAGTTTGAATTTTTACAAGAAAACCAACTCCAACATGACATTTTCAGGTCGGTCTGTACCAACAAGTCATTAATCGGCCCTAGAATCTAGAACCGTTTCGAAACCACTCTGAATACCACCTCTGATTCTACGCACAAATTTAAGTTTTTGCCCAAAATTTCACATAAATAATTATTCACCGCTAAAAGTTTAAAATATCCGCAATATTTTCGCGCGCGCTCTGTCAAATTTAAATATTCACGACCAATAGGAAAATTAAAATCGTTGATTATTGGCAGTTATGAATAGTAGCGTAGTAGGCTTAAAAATGTTCTAGGCTGCCCTCGAACCATTAGAACTAGTTCAGCTTCGATCCAGAACCTATTCCATTTGAACTGCGAACAAAGAACTCTGATTATAGGGATCCGTTATAAGGGCCGAATTTACAATCGCTCCTTGAGTTTTCTCAGACCGGAAGCCTTGAAGGTTTAGAATCGACATGACTACTTATCAAATAGTAACAATAATGTCCCAAAGTGTCCATTCTAAACATTACGACGTAAGAAAACTGAATGAACGACTATAAACTTTGGCCCACATTGGACACAACTATGCGAATCAGTTCTGAATCCTTACCGCCAACGAACTATACTCTGTTCTCTGTTTCTCGATTTTTCAAATTCAATTTTTCTAAAAAAGTGTTCTTATATTGGACAGCATCTTAAACCGACTTTCGATCCATTTTTGGATATAACAAAACGGCATTATCGGACTCAGGCAGGATCGAGAACCCTAAAATGAGGCTCTCCCAGTTTCCTCCCTGCTCAAAATTTAAATTCTGTTCCTCGTCTATCGATCCCTGGGCTGGGACTCTGTAACGAATAGAGATATTTTCTCTATCTCTATCGACCTCTCTCTCTATTGATTTTGAAAAGAGAGGAGTCAGCAAGTGTCATAGCGATAGGGATAACGATCTCTATCCAGTGGCGTATTTACCATAAGGCCATGGGGGCCATGGCCCGGGGCGGTAGGGCTGCCAGGGGCGGCACAAGCCGCGTCCCCAGCACTTAGGAATGCTATCTTTACAACAAAGCAACAAAATGAGTTTGAGGCAACTCAACATATTATTTAATAAGGAAAAAAAATTGAAGGAAGCATTTTCTCATACAGAAATAGTATTACGTATCATTTTATGCACTGCAGTAAACTTTAACTTCCAGTGTTTCTTTTTTTGTTAAAATGTTTTTTTATTATTAAATTTTTGTTTGTTAAATTATAGGGCGGCAAACCTTATAGGCCCGGGGCGCCAAATTTTAAAATACGCCACTGTCTCTATCCGTTACAGAGTCCCAGCCCTGTATTTCCTATCCTTAGGACCACGACTCCGACATTACTTTTAACTTGAAATTATTCAATTCTCCATACGACACGACTTCCAAGTACCTAAAGTGTGTTTTTTAGTAACTATGTTGCCAACACAAGCCTTTTCTACATAAAAAATTTGGCAGCATTAACAATTTTTTCTGCGATTGACAAGAAATGTCAGCATTTTTGACCGGTTGACAGGTCGCAAAACTCAATATTCTGGTATTTCAATTATGTTTCAATAGTTGCTAAGGAATCAATGAATAACAATACGGGAAACACTTTTCCGGCCTAGGCCGGGAATTCAGGTTCAGTTTGTTGTTTTTATTAATTTATTTTCAATTGAAATTGAAACTGAATTGTTTTTGTACTACAGCACAGTTTATTTCACATTAAAAATGAACAATTATCTACCTAGAAGTGTCATGAAGCGTGCAATGGCAATAATGGATAATAAATTTCATTAAACTAAACTTCTTTTAAAAATTCCTGTTCCAACGACCAACTTTTAACAAAAAAAAAATAAAGAAACAACCTCAATTTAGAAATTATTAAACGTCAAAATTCAAAAAATGCGTACTTCGCGCCAACTTAGGTCAGTTAAGTTATCTCAGTTAAAAATCCGGGTGTCTTAGCAGAGGAAAGGGGGGAAGGCAGATTCTAACTTAGTTGTGATAGATCGTACGCGCAACTAAGTTAGATTCTTTAAGTTAGGTAAGAAAAGTGCTTGATCGTAAGCAGCTTTTGTTAGTTAACAAAAACCTCAGATTGTGACAATGTCAATATGAGATTGTTTTTGTGTGACTATCTGAGGTTGTTGTTTGCTAACAAGGACTTGACTAACGACTGATCTCGTCGCCATTAATGTACTAAAACCAATATTCAGCGGAATCATAGCCTGTGGTGCAAACACCCTACGTCAAGGCGAAGAAGGACACGCTGTCTGCGTCATCACTGGTGCTGTGACCTGGTGGGGGGCTTGAGATTTGATCTATAGAGGCCATATGCGAATAGGCTATCCTATGGTTGTCCTATCCTGTGGAGTGTGTAATAATCCTTGGATCTCACTCTCCAAACGTCTCAACTCACAACCCTGAAGCATCATCCGGTGATGCCAAAGGAGACAGCTTTTTTTTTTCAATAAGGGTTTTTTTTTCTCCGGTTCAACTTACTTTCCAAGGTGGCATCCCTATCTCTATCTGACTCCACCTACGCCCCCAGGTCACGCTCCTGTCCTGTTGTGACGTCCCAGGACGAAACGTAAAGCGATTTTCAGCCTGGAATGATTATTTATTGGTAAATACCGTGGTTATTCTTTTGGTTGACAACTTTGACAGCCGAGTGTGACGTCACAGCCCCCCACCACTCAAGAATCATAACCCAAGGAACTGACCGCTGAAATGATTTGGTTATAGCAGTGTAGGATTATGTTTATTATTCCTATTTGTTTTTTCGTTTCAACAATGGTTTGTTGTTTAGGTACAAAAAATGGAGCGGAATCTCTCGTTAGTCTCGTTTATCGAACAGATTTTCTCTGGGGATGATCTAAACCTCGATCTAAACATGGTGAGTTGCAGTGAGTGTATACTTCTTCCATTGTACCAGGTCACAACACAACTGCAAAATTCACAAAACACCAATACCAATTCCCAAAATAATAACAATAACATCAAAAAGCTGTAACCAAAAGATTAACCCAAGTCCAAAGCTGGGTTATAATCGGTTATAAGTGGTTATACAACTCACTGTACATTATTCCCATATGACACGAGAGGATTAAGAAGTGATAATCCTTCCCATATGACACGAGAGGCTTAATAAGTGATAATCCTTTTGCACGGTAACTGGTGTTTTGACATTTTTTGACAAAAAAATATAAATTTTTGATTCATGAAATTATTAATTAATAAAGAATTATATTTAGTTCGTTGTATAACCTTTTGAATACCACTCGAGTTTTCAGGATTACCTAATACTTTTACCTGACACTCAACGCGTTACCAGCAACACCACTCCTCCTTCGGAGTCGTGGTGTTGCTGCGTAACGCGTTTCGTGACAGGTAAAAGTATTATCCAGTAATCCTGAAACTTCTTGTGGTATTACATTCGATAAGTACCAAAAGCAAATCAGCTGATATGTGACATCACGACTTTCCCCTACTTTGGTTAAAACCGCGACGGCGGAAATGCATTGGTTATAACCAAATAATAATCATTCCAGGCTGAAAATCGCCTGTATAGGGGTTGTGACAATGCAAAGGCGCTTTCTATTCAATTCCCTTCAATAAGGAAAGAATAAGCTTTATTGCGTGATAATGGTCAAACCAAACATAGCGCCCAAAAAAACTTGTAGGCAAAATTATACAAACGTTAGAACAAAAAGGTTTGAAATTTGTTGCCCCACTCATTTGGGTAAGTTACCAAGAATCCACATCAAACCAACCGTTAAAAATATCTTTATTTAGGGCCACAGCAGATCAAGTCAAGAAACATCACCTTAGCACCGGTAGTACCAATCTACCAATGGTATGGTATGGTATGGGAAGGATTAAGAGCAGTATAGTTAGGAATCGGTCGAGTTTTAATGGGTGCCTATGGGCTAATACAAAATTAGGATTTGGTTCAATCAAATCGAATTGGTCGAATGGAATAGGACTCAATTTTGGATCCCTAGATCTTAAATTTGTTCTTGATTTCATGGTGAAAGCGCTTATTCAAGTTTATCTTAAATAGTTTTGTTTTTTAATTATTGTTATTATTTATTTGCGAAGAGTACTTTGACTTTAAAATTGTTGCAGATTATAGCAGGATGCAAAGTTCAAAGCTTTCATCAAATCATTGGCTGCTGCAATATTGTTTTAATTTTAAGTTATTGTTAATAAATAAATTGGTTCAGTCAGCGTAAAAGATGGTTTTTAAACTGTTTTATTTGGGAGTGGTGACAGAAAACGCAAAAAAATTGTTGCTAAATGAAAAGAGTGGAATCTTTTTGAGAAACTTTGGTAAGTAAATTTGTATAAGCTGATTTGATTCAGTTGTCAGGCAACATTTGAGAAATGTGGTTGAGAATATTTAAAGATTTTCACCTCTATCTCAATAGCGATTTCTTTTAGCAACGTGCTCTATTCACTCTAGATCATTAGTTTCAAAATATAAATCTAATGCAGTATGCAGTAGTGTTGTCAGGGCCCGTTGTGTATATTCAAACAAACGCATGTGCAATGCGTAAGATGTGCAAAGCGTAAGGAGATAATTTTTTAATTTAATTTAAATATTCCAAATTGCATTGAATTAGGCCTTTATTAATGCCTGAACCCATTTACAAAAAACCTAAATTAAAATTTAGTTTTTGGTTTTGACAAAATTTAATTTTTTTTGAAATTTTGCGTCACGTGACGATTATATCCTCGCATCGATTGGTTCGTTATTCCTCAAGGCTGTTCTCTAGGAAATTAAATTTTCAAGACCGGATCGTCCATTTTGCCCTGAGACTTTGTATGATTTGTACCTTGTTATCAATTTTTTCTTTATTTTCGAGAGCAATGGCTGCCAACCAAGAAAGAACTTTTATCATGGTAAAACCTGACGGTGTCCAGAGGGGACTCGTTGGAAAAATCATCAAGCGTTTCGAACAAAAGGGCTTCAAACTGGTCGCTATGAAATTTGTGTGGGTAAGAACAGAAAACGCCTTTTTATCTAGCAATAATTAGGTGCTAAAGTTACCCAATTAGCTTAGCAATAATTAAAATAGCTATCAATAATTATTACTTAATTTAAACCTAGCTAACGTAACCTCAAACTAAAACCGATTCTGGCATGGTCGGGACACTTCCATATGGAAAATGTCTAATAACTATTTTTTTTTAGCCTTCAGAAGAATTACTCAAAAACCATTACGCCGACCTTGCCGGACGTCCATTTTTCCCCGGTCTAGTTAAATACATGTCTTCAGGACCAGTTGTTCCTATGGTCTGGGAAGGCTTAAACGTAGTCAAAACTGGTCGCGTCTTGTTGGGTGCCACCAACCCAGCTGACAGTGCCCCTGGTACCATCAGAGGAGACCTTTGCGTACAAGTAAGCAACTACAATGATTTTTTCCAATACAGATTTTTTATTGATTTTTTTTATATTTAGGTTGGTAGAAACATTCTTCACGGATCTGATGCAGTAGAATCAGCCAAAAAAGAAATCGCTTTGTGGTTCAACCCTAACGAATTAGTTAGCTGGCAACCAGCTACCACTTCCTGGGTATATGAAGATTAGAAAAATTACACAGTGGGTCAGATGAGGCAAAATAATTAATTGAAATTTACCACCAAGAGCAATTTTTGTTTTTAGAGAAAAATATTCCAACTTTATATTTAAGAATAAATTATTTCCATATCATTATTTGTTGTTGCATTCTATAACCTGTGCCTGTTTTTAATATACTCATTGAAATTTAAATGCTTTAATTATTATAATGGGCAGAAATTATTACATTAAAGATCCTTTTTTGGAAATATCGTCATACAGTATAGACAATTCTTGACACTCTTGGGATTTCTGGGACAGGGAAGTTTCCAGAGAGCTAGTTCTGATTTGCAATCTTTTATAAATTGCTTGTACTTCTACAATTTCCTTTTTGCAAGCCTCAATTTCTTGATTGGTTTTTTCTCGAATCCTAAAACAATTCATCAAATTCAAGAAATAATAATATTATAAGGTGCTTACTTTTGAATCTCAACATTGCAATTGTCTTGATTTGATCCAAATTTGGCGTTTTGTTCGTTCAATTGGGTTTCCAGTGTTTGTTTCTTGTCTTCAAGCTCTTTTTCATTTTTCTGATAGTCTTTAATGGTATTTTTGATTGCAACAAATTTTCTAGAATTAATTAATAATTTATTACCAATATACTCTTGATATAATTATTCATACTTACTGAAGTTCTTGTGAAAGTGCATTTTGTGCATTTGAGTGCTGTTCCAGGCGTGTCTGCAAAAATCGAGATTGTAAGGACAATTCTTCAGCCTGTTGCTGTATCTTAGATTCCAGAACTTTGATATCACTTCTATAATAGAAAGCATGAAAAGTATTTGAGAATTTGAGTTGAAAAAATTAACTTACTTGCATTGGTTAACAAATTTTCTAAATTGCTCGTCTTTCTGAAAATAGTTTTTCAGGCACTGGTCTTTGCAAGCACCTTCTTTCAAGAGTTTTTCAATTTCACCTTTGTATTTCTCAATTTCTTCTTTCACATTTTCATCTTCAAGATTTTTGGTTGGTTCTCTGTTCTGAAATAAATAGAGTATTGGATTGTGTTTTTCTGAGGTTTTGAGTTTAGAGTTCCAGAAGGTACCTCTACAGCTTACCTCTTTATTTTCCAACACCGACATTTTTGATTATTAACTTTTTTCAAATTCTCTACAACTTCCGCAGGAACAAAAACCGTTTATTTTTTTTTTAAATGTACCAGAACCACAAACGTCTGCGAATGACAGTATTGACAATTCAAGAGTAAAGAAAATTTTTTTGTTGGTGTTGTTAGAGTAGCTAGAGCAAGAATTCGTGCAGTCATTTGTTTGTAATGAACTGACGAGCATTCGTTTGTGAGTAGAATATATTTGAAACTGCTAAGTTCATGTCCAACCTACACTTGTTAGGTTTGTTTGTTTGTCATGTTCAGACCAGCACTTCCTGGTTTGGGGCGTTCGTTTGTGTTATGGCAATGAACTAACGAGCGTTCTTTGTGGAATGCAGTTCGTACCAAACTGTCTGGCTCATGTTCAACCTGCACTTGCTTTCGGAGGAGTAAGATGCAGTCTAGAATTAAATGTCAAAGCGCCACATTTGACGGTTTCCTGTTCCCTTCGCTTTTCATGCATCCGTTTTTCGGTGCGGTTGCGGTTACACAAATTGTATTATAGAAAATTTTAGAAATTTCACTTAATAAAATTTTATATAAATTTATATGCATATACCTAATATTAACTAGTACTAAAAATTTTCTATAATACAATTTGTGTAACCGCGACTGCTGGCACAAATTTTGTGTCAGTCCAATGATTCGGAAGTATTCCCATTGGTCCAATATTTTGACGCCAAAATATTGGACAGCAGCGGCTGGGATCACGATTCACGACGGAGTAGAATTCTACTTTCATGACGTCACCCGCGACCCATTTATCGCGTACAAGTCGTACAAGTATAGGCGATCATGATGGTTGCTAGGCAACTGACGTCATGAAAGTAGAATTCTACTTTTTTTTCGTCGATTTGCTCCGAAATTTTGACAGGCACGTGACTAGATAAGTTTCAGTTTAAAAATCACGTGCCTGTGAAAATTTCAAAGCAAATCGACGAAAAAGATGACGAAAACGAACTCGGCCAGTATAGGCGATCATGATGGTTGCTCTTTCACACCTAAAAAGCGCTCCGGAACAGCTCCGGGGCGTTACGCGCTTATTCTTGTCGAAAAGTGTTTGTTGCACCTGAGTGCTCAAGCCCGACTAAGGGCGGGTATTATAAAACTACTTTTTTTTTTTTTTTTTTTTTTTTTTTTTTTTTTTTTTTTTTTTTTTTTTTTTTTTTTACGGATATGCGCACTCGCAAGGAAATGTCCTATCACGCTCGAGAAGCGGCAAGTGCGCGGAAATGTCGGTGTATGTCGGTCTTGAAACGGTTCAGGTTGTAACCTGCAGGGAAAACCGTCGCAGGGAGTTTATTCCACAGCGATGCTGTTCTCCAGAGATATGAATTCTGATATAATGAGGTTCTTGGTGCCTCTAGTTTGACAGTAAATTCATGGTTACCGTCTGTTTGACGGGTTCGCCTGGTAGGCGCTACTCTCGGTGGAATCATACGTGCCAACTCTTCAGAGCATTTTCCGTGATAGTACCTGTAGAAGAGAGATAAATCGCCCACAGATCTGCGATGTTCGAGACCATCCAAGTTACGAGTAAGTGCGGGGTCATTGATCAGCTTGATAGCTCGTTTTTGCACGGTGTTCAAAAGCATTAAGGTATGTTTGGGTGCTGCACTCCATATATGTGAGCAGTACTCCATAGTTGGTCGAATCTGGGCTTTGTAGAGTGTCAGCAATTGGCTTGGTGTGTACAGATGTCTTGTACGAAATAGCACCCCAAGCTTTTGGGACGCCCTTTTAGCAATATCTGCCACGTGACTGTGCCAAGACATGTTGGTCTCTGCAGTAACCCCCAAGATGTTCAACTGACTCTGTAATGTGACAGCACTTCCAGATAGCATGATGTTTGGCTCACCGGTGCTGGTCTTTTTTGAAAACAGAGCTGCTTGGGTTTTCTGTGCGTTGAACTGTAAAAGGTTTTTGTTACCCCAGTCCTCTATTATCTCCAGGTCGTTATTTATCTGCGATATTTGAGTTAGTCTAAGATGATGGAATTCACGTGCGGAAAGACCTGTGGGTGGTATGAGTGAGGAGACTACATTGCCATCGTCTGCAAAGCAATAAAGTGGATTTACTGTTTGATCTATGAGGTCATTTATGTAAATCAGAAAAAGAGTTGGCGAAAGGATTGCTCCCTGTGGCACACCAGCATTTATTTGGTAAGAGTTGGAGTTCTGGCCATCCATTGCAACATAAATGGATCTGTCCTTTAGGTAACTTTCAAACCATTAAGTGCAAAGTTTCGGCGATAATCCCATTGCTTTGAGCTATGTTGAGCAGATTTTCATGCCAAACTTTGTCGAATGCTTTAGATATATCTAAGGCAATTGTTCTTGTTTCACCCCGCAACTCAATCGCTTTTTGCCATAAGTGAGTGACGTATGTAAGTAAATCGCCAGTTGATCTATATTTTCGAAATCCGTATTGCTTTGAGAGTTAACTTAAAGTTAACTTCTGAAAATACATGTAATTCATCAAGTTAACTGCAAGTTAACTGTCAATGCAGTTTTATAATACCCACCCTAAAGCCTAGTACTCATAACTGCGAAATTCGCATTTTTTTGACATTTCTTCGACAAATTGACGTTTGATACACGCATAAAACGTCAAATTATCAACGCAATGTCAAAAAAATGCGAATTTCGCAGTTATGAGTACTAGGCTTTAGGGCGGGTATTATAAAACTACTTTGAAAGTTAACTTAAAATTAACTTCTGGAATTACATGTAATTCAAAAAGTTAACTGTCAAAGCAGTTTTATAATACCCACCCTAAAGCCTAGTACTCATAACTGCGAAATTCGCATTTTTTTGACATTGCGTTGACAATTTGACGTTTTATGCGTGTATCAAACGTCAAATTGTCGAAGCAATGTCAAAAATATGCGAATTTCGCAGTTATGAGTACTGGCTTTAGGGCGGGTATTATAAAACTGCTTTGACAGTTAACTTGAAGTTAACTTTTTGAATTAGGGCGGGTATTATAAAACTGCTTTGATAGTTAACTTGAAGTTAACTTTTTGAATTACATGTAATTTCAGAAGTTAACTTTAAGTTAACTCTTAAAGTAGTTTTATAATACCCGCCCTTAGGGCGAGTTCTCATGAACGTTAGTTGACATTTCTGGCGTAATGACGTGATAAAATGGTTACATTTTATTGGTAAAATATTCGCCATGCTGGAGATTTTACCAATCAAATTACACCATATTATCACGTGATTACGCCAGAAATGTCAACTTACGCTCATGAGAACTCGCCCTCAAACCATTTAAATGCATGAAAGCCAACGCATCTGTTCCTTTCAAATCGGGGTCGACTAACACCGGAGCAAGTAGCTCTAGTGTTTCAAGCTCTTGAAAGGAAGACAACTTATGTGGAACAGTTCAAGAGCGTCACACTCCAGGAGCATGATACTCTATCAATTTAGGCACTGGAAAGCAGCTCTGAACTCGGCCTTGGCGACGTCACAAACAAATATTTTGCTCTCAGCGCTCAGTTCAAGTTTTTGCGACAAAACAAACCAACCTCTTGTTTTCGAGTGAACTGTCGAAAACGCTACATCGAACGACTCCCCAAACATTTCGTACTCAGTTCAAGTTAGTGCAAGCTCCAGCCTTATAGCGATTTCCATTTGTCGAACCAGTGCAACAAAAATATATCCTTATCCTTACATGTTACATGCTTTTAAATAAGATGCGGATACACTCAGTGCGCACTGACTGACAAATGGAAATCGCCATTAGAGCGGGTACTAGCAGTAGACGACTTCACTTGACATTATACAACTCACTTTACATTATTCCCATATGACACGAGAGGCTTTAGAAGTGATAAGCCTTTTGGGATAATCGCGCTTGGTGGCAACTTGTTATTATAATAATAAAAATTAATACTTAGCATTAAAGTTTAGTTCGTTGTATAACCTTTTGAATACCACTCGATGTTTCAGGATTACCTAATACTCAACGCGTTACCCGCAACACCACTCCTCCTTCGGAGTCGTGGTATTGCTGCGTAACGCGTTTCGTGACAGGTGAAAGTATTATCCGGTAATCCCGAAACCTCTTGTGGTATTACATTCGATAATGCAACACTCAAATTAATTAATACACATCTGAATTAAGAACCAACTTTTTAATGAAAATAATTACACTAACATCAACTTTTCGACTTTTTCTCTTTTTTGCCAATAATTTTCTCCAACTCACTATCAGGTTCTAGCTTAACTTTATCCAAATACAAATCCTCATCCTGGGATATCATTTGGGATTTTCTGCGTTTCCTTTTTTTATCAGGACTATCTGCCATGTTCAGAGACGATTTTTCATCAAAATCCATATTTTCTGTGAATAACGATTTAATGTCCAGCGATTCAAGTGATATATCCAAGTCATCTTTTTTCCTGTGCTTGTTTTTTTTCTTTGTTTTATCTGAGTCTTTGTATTTGCTTGGTGTCAAAGTTACTTCTTCCTCTTTAATCTCATCTTTGAGAATTAATTCTGTATGTAAGGAATTTTCACCTATACTAAATGACATACTAAAAAAAATAATATACACTTATTGTGATAAAAAATGAATGTTTGTATATAGGTACCTTTTTTTTCTATTTTTCTTCTCAGATTTAGCAGTTGGTATATCAACTTCAGCTTCACTTGAGTAATCTCTGAATTTTTTTTCTTTCTGTTTTTTTACTTTATTTGACAAAAATTCTCCATTTTCAATTCGTACTTCATCAACATACAGGTCACTTTCATCTATCAAAGAAGTAGAAAGACTAAAATTAAAAAAGATATATTTATGTTAGTTTTGTATATTTTTGAATAGGTACCTTTTTTTCTTTTTATTTTTCTTTGTTTTATCTGAGTCTTTGTATTTACTTGGTGTCAAAGATACTTCTTCCTCTTTAATCTCATCTTTGAGAATTAATTCTGTGTGCAAGGAACTTTCACCTAAACTAAATGATGTACTAAAAAATATACATATACTTATTCTGGTAAATAAAAAAAAAATAAGAATGTTTATACCTTTTTTTCCTTTTCTTTTTCTCAGATTTAGCATTTGGTGTAGTAACTTCAGCTTCACTTGAGTAATCTCTGAATTGTTTTTCCTTGTGTTTTTTTACTTTATTCGGGATAACTTCTCCATTTTCAATTGGTACTTCATCATCATACAAGGCACTTTCATCTATCAAAGAAGTAGAAAGACTAAAATTTGGAAAGATATATTTCTGTTAAAATACTACTTTGTATTTCTTGAAATACCTTTTTCTTCTTTTATTCTTTTTAGGCTTTTCCTGTTCTACTTCAGTAGGATCTTCAGTTACAGAAATGCTAAATAAAATTTATTAGAACAATTCTAAAATATAATGTATTGTGCTTACCTTGACATCTTTTTTCTTTTATCTTTATGAGGGTTTTCAACAACTTCTTCATCTACAAATTTAGTTTTCTTTCCTTTCTTTTCAGATTTAATCAAGGACACACCACTGATATCCCCTTGACTTTCTATTGACCTAAACATAAACATAATTAAATCAAAAATAATAAATACCATAATAATATTTATCTTACAATAAATGTCCTCTTATATGAGGCAAGCGAGCTGTAAGATTGACAAAGGTGATCCTAAACGATACCTCACTTTTTATAGTAACATTTTCCCCCAGCCAAGTTTCATCTTCTTCCCCAGCAGGCTTTGGCAAGGAAATGTTGAAAGTATTATAAACTAAACAACCCACATGGTCTTTTGTTGTTCTTGTAACAGTCCCTTTCAATACCATATCAATTTGCGGATGGAACACATAAAATAAAGCTTCTATGTCCAAATGGACGTGACAATTATCTGAACCTATAACTCCTAGCTTGGATTGAAGTCTTACATTTTCATAGCCTAACATGATGCCTTGAAATCTGTATAAAATTAAGTTTCAAGAGTTTGACGCATTTTAAATTTGGATGAAACTTACGATTCGTCAAATCGGCCAATTTTTTTGCCCAATTCGTCTTTGACCGACTCTCCGAAATTGTTGAATTGGGCCGGATGCAGGGCCACATGATATTTGCATTCTTGCTTAAACACTCCACTATTTGGGTCGCTGGTTAATTCGTTCAGATAGTCTTTGTCGAATTTTAGTTGATTTGCGCTAAAGAAAGTCATTTTTTGGGTTTTGTTGGATTTTATTTTAAATTTTGTACATCATGTTTTCGCATAAAATGCAAACAAAAAAGTGAGGTTAGGACTGTTAGTGTTAGGAGCGTGGATGACAATTTTAGGGGTTTTCGGTGATTTTAGAGTAGTTCGGACTGGTTTTTTTTTTTCTAGTGCTTAAAGCAGACAAACAGATAGGATAATCCTCTACTCGGCATTATATTCCGTACAAAAAATGTAGAAACAACTGGGAAAAACCATTTTAATTTACCTACTTCTACCACTTCAGTTTTAAAGAACCACATGTTCAGAGTAATCCAAACAGTATTTAAGTAAACGCCTTTTGATTCTCATTTTCAAATTTCATTTGCAAGCGTGCATATGTAAATTCCCCTTTTTGCAAGTGGAAAGTAGCACTTTACCACATAGTGTGCCTAAAAGTAGACTGCAAAAGCGTACGGTAATAGTTATTTACCTAACAAATGCGGAAAGTGATACTTTACCGCACGCAACGGCAGTTGACCGAACGACGCTGTAAAGTTAACTTTACCGCACACTATGCGGTAAAGTGCACTTTACCGCATAGTGCACTTTACCGCACGCTCGTAGGTAAATTTAATTTACCGCATAGTTTCCGGCACATTTGCGGTGTAGACTATAGAACACTTTGGAACTTTAATAAATCTTTTGGAAACGCATTCTGTGAAGCTTTAGAACAATTTGGAAACTTCAGAACCATTTCAGAATGCTTCAAAACATTCAAAAACCTAATTACAATTAACTTCCTGAAAGCATTTTAGAACAATTCAGAAGTTTGAAACTTATTTTAGGATGCTCCAAAACACTCCAAACACACTACAATCTTCAGAAACATTTTGAAAAGTCCCAGAATCTTAAGATTCGGGTTAAGTTACAAAACGCCTTTCAGGAGGCATTCCAGAGCGATTTTTAATTACTGCAGACCTAGGTACCGGTGGTGACGGTAGTACTTATACAAAACAATTCTAATCCAAATCAGAATTTTCAGGAGCATATTGGAACAATTTGGAAACTTCACAATTACCTATTTCAGAATGATTAGGATTCAATTTGGAACTGGAAACCTTTTAGAACTCTTTTGAACCAATTTGGACCACTTTGGAACTTCAATAGGCCTGTGAAATACTAAAAAATCTGTCAGAACAATTTAGAAATTACTGAACTAAAACGCTTCAGAACCTTGAAGCCAAGTTAGGTTAGAACATTGTAGAACTTCAATAATAAGCCAGTTAGAACGTTCCAAAACACTTTCTCAGCAGCATTTTGGAAGGCTTCAGAACAATTAAAAATGCTCAGAAAGCTCAGAACAATTTCAGAGAGCCGAGCGCCTTTTTTTTTCATTCCAAGTTCTTGAATTCTCATTATTCCCGTATTTTACATTTCGTGCGGTAAAGTAGTTATCACTTTTCGCATTTGTTAGGCAAATAACTATATAACATCAAAACTTTCCTATAGGTAGCTATGCAAAGCCAAAAATAAAAAAAATACCTGGGGGAAAAATATTTTATTAAATTGACACACCTATTACTTAAATTTGAGCTTATTTTGGACATGATCCGTAACTTCGGCTATTTTATCCTGCCTCAAGAAATTATATCCTTTGTATTTAATTGTAGACCCATCACTACTGATGGCACTATCTGTGGAAGTTGTCGGTGAACTAGGAGCTATTGTAATATTTCTAAAGGGCAAAGCGCAAAGAATGTTCCTGGGCGGCCTAGAAGGGCCATTTGTTGCATCTTTGGAATTTTCTGGGACTGTTTTAATCGTTCTAGAATTGAACTGTGGAATTTTTTGGATTTCTAAAGGAATTCTAGGATCTACTGGGGGTTTGTATTGTTTTTCTCGCGATTCTAACCGTTTGGAATAGTGTCTTCTGCGCTTTTGCCTTTCAGCGTTGATATTTCGGATTGCTTCAGTTCTTGACTCTGCATTATTGGATTTTTCTGGGGCTACATCTTCGCCTCCATCTTCTTCCTCTTCGATTATGCTACTTTCTATCCATTTCTTTATTCTATCTTTTTTTGCATTTCTGTCCACGGTAGTTTCTAGACCGTACTGTGTTAACGAATGTAAGATTTTATTTTTTTCTTCTGGAGAACTGTGAAAACTGTACATAGATGGGCAAAGTCCATCGTCTTCTGTTAGTGTTTCGTTTGATTTTTCCATACCTTTTGACATCCATCGGTCATCCAGATATCTAAATAAACGAAAAATTATGCAATAAATAACATCCAAATTGAATTATGTTCAAATTTAAAACTTACCTACCTATAAACGTCCTTTAAATCAGTAGGTCGTCGTTCTTCCTTTGGCTCTAAATATCTTTTGAAAAATCTTTGAGCTTTTGTAGAGACTAGTTTGAAAAGTTTGGGTACTCTAATCATTGGCAAAGTGCTATTTTGCCAGGAAATATAGCGGACGTATCTGGGATCATCGTGCGCAGCTTTTTGCCAGGGCAAACAACCAGTTAGGCATACAAAAATTACGATCCCAAACTGCCAGATATCGTGGGAGATATTACAACTAAAAATAATCCATTTATAAGTATTCCAACAATTATTGTCTTTTAACTCACATGTAGCTGTCGTCGACGGAAATTTCCAAAATTTCAGGCGCTGCGTACGGGAGCCATTCGTTTCTGCGCAACACCAAACTTCCAGCAGGCCTGGTTTCGCCGAAATCGCACAGCTTGATACGGGAAAAGTCCGATTTGAACACCAAAATGTTGTCCAGTTTTATGTCTCGGTGGACCAGTTGCTTTTTATGGATGTATTCCAGGGCGGAAGCCAATTGCTTTGCCACCCTTTTAGTGTGAAGTTCACCGATGCCGATTTCCGAAACGTTTGAAGTCAGATCTCCTGTAAAGAATGAATGGATTTATTGCGATATCGAATGGATTATACTTGACATGGTAGTCAAAACGTGAAAGACGTTGGGTTTTGTAACCTGAGACGTCTTCAAAAAGTCTTTAAGACGCCTTGAACACGTAAGCAAACGTCTTGAATGTCGTTTGTAGAAATCTTAGGAAAATCTTTAAGATGTCTCTATGCTGCCTGGGTTATACTACTCAAGATTTAAGACCAAGTTCAGTCTTCATAGCTTCTGCATTAAAACTTCAGTTTGCACAATTATAATACCTATTTAGAAACTATTTATAATGTTTGTTCTAGAAAGAACACACCATCAAAGTCAGACTTAGGGATAGCGAAAACGGAGTACTAGAATTAAAAGGGAAAAAAGTTAAGTGTTTCGGATATCTGAAATATCAAAATACAATGAATTACTGGCGCTTGAATGAAAATGACTCACCAAAAAATGTCGTCATAATTCATAGTTATCGGAATATTGGATCGTATTTCTAAGATTTTTTCGTTAGAACTAATTATTGCAACTTAAATTTCACAATAAAATCGGTCCAATAATAACCCAAGCTCTGACCGGTTTAATGAGGCTGCGTCGGAAAGTAGAACATTTTTCACGCTGAGAAAATGAATGTAGAGAAACTTTTGGAGCTATTTGATTTTTTCAAAAAAATTTGATGCAACAAAAACAAATTAAAACATTGAACGAGCGTGCCAATTTATTTATTACAATGATGTCTTACGTGCCGGGAAATATCATTTCATTGGTACCGCGCCAAACCACGAAATTATCCAAATCCCCCAAGTGCATTTAATGACCAAAAATAAATTAAATTGTTCTTACCAAGCGGAGCGTACTCTTGAGAAAAAACGTAGAATCCTGCAGTTTCAAATGCCACGTCGTAAGCTGTAATGATGTTTTTGTGCAGGCCTAAATTCAAGCCGTAATGGAATTCCCTGTAAAAATCGACCAGGGCCGTGTAGGGTTTGGGTAAGGCTTTTAGTACCATTTCGCGGTCTGTGGCTTTGTGTTCTACCAAGAGGATTTTGCCAAACCATCCTTCACCTACTATTTGGAGGATATCGAATTCTTCTACAAGACTTACCTTATAGAAAAATACAATTAACAACTGGATTTTGAAATTTTTAGCTAGGTACTTACTTTTTCTAATTCAAATTCCCTAATTCTATGTATGTTAGCATCGGTGATTGATTTTGTATGACTTCCCATTTTTTTCCTGGATGCACCATTGATTTAGGCTTGTTATAATTAAAATTTTTGAAACTGAAACGTTATTACATGAAATTAAATCTTTATTAAAGGCAGAAACTTACCGCTGAATTAAGTTCTTATTAAAACTATTGATGCACTTGATTAAAAATAAATAAAAGGGTCTTATTGTTACCGAAATAATCGAGCTAAAATAGACAAAATTAGAACACACAAAACGATAGAGGCCTCATGTGAATCTGACTATACACTACATAAATTTTGAATGCTCATCGGATTGCCCAGCTTTTTCACCGTGTACATAAGTATTTTTAGATTCTTGTCTGGCTTTAGGAACATTGTCTAAAGCATTTTCTGGGTTCATTTTTGATGACGTTGCGACGGGAATAAAGCTTTAGGAACAACCGGAAATTACACGATTTCAATTGAAAAAGTATTACATGGATGGAGATACTCATCTTTGTCAAACACATTTATTTTCTTCATAAATTTGTCTTTGCAAATTCATTAATAACTAAATCGTTTTTCTTTAGGTATTTCGATTTAACATCTCTTACGTATTTCGAGATATTGAAGCTTACAGATTTTAAAATAAAAAACCCTCCAAGCACCCCCCTATAGTTGCGCCTATGGAGCAATTGAGCTTTAGAGATGAATTTTAGTCGAAATTTATCCAAAAACTTCAAACTCAGTTTTCTCAAAAACTATAATATATACCTACCTGAAAATATTGTCCAATTCAGGTTTTTTAGAGAAATAGAAAAAAAAATTAAAAAAGAAAATCTCAATTTTTTAAAATTCCTGATAAGCTTAAGAAAAATTGCCAATATTAGAAAGAGCATCAAATTCTCTATAAATCCGTGCTAAATTGAGTTTGTTAGCTCAGAGCTTTTCGAGCAATTGAGCTGCAAAGTTGAACATATTCAAATAACCAAAAATTCCCAAACTGTTACTGCAAGCCTCCTTTGGGTGAATTGAAAACTTAACCCTTTTAAAAAAAAAATATTTGTAAATACCTAGAAGCAAATTTCTGTTTTCTACTATTATGTTTACATAATTTTATTGTTCTGATGTAAACGCACCCAAAACTAGCCAATGCAATTTCTTTAGTTGACTTGATTGGTCATAAATAGGCGCTCTCTTATCAACTCAATCAAAATTACTGAGTTTACACCGAATCTTTTAATGAAAATCCAAAAATAAAATCTTTTTCTGACAATGTTAGGAAAAGGTGGCCCAAAGACGAAACGTCGGTTTTAAATTTTGATAATGCCATATTGTACAAGATAAAAACTGCGTAATTTTGCCCCAATTTAACCGACCCTGTATATCCTTAATGGTTACCGAGTTATCCATACTTACTCATGTAACAAACACCCTGTATAATTAAAGTAATCGGATAAAGGGAGCGGGGCGTTCAACGTTTTCGAACAATGATGCCACAATCTTGATAATTTGTCTCCTATTCGAAACTGGATGATTTAATAAAAGGCAGCAGCCAGTCCGCTCTGGCTGCTTTGCCTATCATCTTTCTCGTTTGTTCGTCAATTTTCCACTCTGTTTAAATTCAAAAGGAGCAAATCTGCAGCGTAATATTTTTCTTATATCATATCCAGAACGAAATGATCCAAGAATTTCACAAATTATAGATTTAGACACTGCATTCTAGGGACACATTGTCTGATATGTCTTTTATCCCTTTTTTCTTTATACTTTTGGGTCTTATAATTATCATCTGCTAGTGAGGGCTGTGCTTCCTTCTATAAGAAAACATTCAGAAAATCTATCCTGGAATAACGAAAATACTAAACTTTGAAAACATCCTCAAAGATTATCTTGCAGACAAAGTTATGTAGAAGAATTATTATTGAAACAACCCTTTGCATTTAAGAATATCAGCTTAGGTGGATCATTATTTGTACTCATAAGTCAATGATATATCTACCCAGTAGATTGAACCAGTAAAATCATATAGATACTTAACTGCACTAAAGTAGTGTTCTTTCTGTTGAAGAAGTTATTGTAAAATAACAACCTGGAAATCTCCAAAGTTGGTAATAACCATTTAAGAACACGAAGATGAGTATGTCAAGACACTATAGAAGACGATATCAATAATAATGTAGACGCTGAAAAATCACAGCACAAGCTTATCTACAGTGTTGGTCAGTTTATTTTCAATCCTGATGTCAGACCAGAAAATTGAATCATTGTACTCAAACTATGAGCAATCAACGAACAAAAAATGGTAAGTATGTTGGAATTGGCAAATTCAAGTGAATTCTTGAATTCAACACCCTCTAGTATAAAGAGAAATCTTTTGAGTCTATTTTTACCATAATATGATACACTTATCCAACAATTTTTTTTTGCTCATTATCCCTGCAAAAACTGATATAGCTACACAATAATCGACACGTTGCATTTACTAATTTGGCCAATCAAAGCCCGAAACTCCCTGCTCCCGATTTTTCAACTGACGCGATCCTCTCGAGAGTTGAGAAGGCGGGAGAGAGGCAATCAGGATAATATATAAGGCGGGAGTTGGGAGAATCCACTCACTTCATTGAGAGAAGTTTTGTGTGGTGATTATTAGAAAAAAAAAATGAGTGGTTCAGGCAAACCACTTTTGGGTTTGTGGTTGTACCGAAGCGGCGAAGAATGGGATTACAAGGAGGAAAGTCCGATTGCATTAAAGAATCAGGTAATTTTTTTTTTTATGTCAGAAGTGTAATTTTTATCTACAACTATTCAATAATAGATCTATTATAATAGGGACTTCATATCAGCAACAATTTAATTTCGTTTGTTACTGGCATAAATGAAAAGTTTTAATGCATAGTTGGTTTTATTATGCAAAAGGTAAAAAACTCTTGTTGTGAAAGTTGGGTGATTTCAGTGATTTCATTGAGTTATCACGTAAAATGTGATTTTTTTAACTTTGGAAACTTTTGGAGAACAAGCAAAGGATAACAACATGGCATTCGCATTTCTCTATGATCGTGTGAGTTGAAAAAAACAATTTAAAGACCATTCTGTCACTTTCTATTCAAAAATAAATTTTGTTCCAGAATTCCAAAGTTTCTTCAATAATGTTCAAATTTGGCGTTTTCATACACATCCGCAGATCCTAAAAATGCGAAAAAAATTATGGGATGCCATTCGAAATTACGAAGTTAGAACTATTTCCGGTCAAACCGAAAGTTACCAAATATTGACACATATTCCAAAAGATGAACCTATACACCGCTACACTATATACCAAAAATCAATGTCATAGAAAAAAAACAGCAAATGCCAGCGCGAAACTGATCTCGTAGACACCCGGTATATGGTTTAAAATAAATGTACATTACACGTGTGCTGGGGGTCTATAAAAATGTTATTTATTCAAGATTTTTTTTGAGTAGGTACCATTGGTAGGTACCTACATATACATATTTCTATTACAGACTCTCAAACTCCCCCAATGCTAACAGTCGTGAATAAAATAATGTGACACATTACACGTGCGGTGCATAAAACATAATATCATCAACTTTTGTAACGTACAAAATAGTACCTAAATATACCTATAGAACATTTGGAATAAATACAAATATTTTTTGTCGATTTGCTCCGAAATTATGACAGGCACGTGATTTGTGAATTGAAACTAACTGTCCAGTCTTGTGCCTGTCAAAATTTCGGAGCAAATAGACGAAAAGGAGAACAATATGCCGAGCATATTGAATAATAATTCCTAATAATAATGTTAGTCAAAAACCTTATTATTCATCGTAAAGAACCCACCATAAGTGTATAGTATTTCCAAACTCAATTGGAACAAAGGTACCAACTGGTAGCTGACTGGTCACTGAAAATTTCCATAAGAAATGCACTGCCACTAGTCAGCCACCAGTTATGATTTATGTTCACCTTGTTCCAATTGACTTTGAAAAAACTATACCTTATAAGTATTATCGAATAGATGCGTTTTCGAGTTTATTTTTGGTGGTGATTTTATTCGTTGAACGGGTAGTTCTTCGTGGATCCCACAAATGTACTTAATAACTTCAATTTAGTTATTGTAGAAAATCGGTTGTAGCGGTATATTACAACACTTCAGAATTTTGTATAACATTCTATCTACGACCGCAAGTCCTGATACAGGTTTTTTCCAGACGTCTGACTCCAAAGACGCCGTAGAAATCGAAAAAATCTCGATAATATTCACGTTGAAAAATCAAGTTGGAGGCTTGGTGAGCGCTCTGCAAGCTTTCCAAGATTTGGGCATAAGCGTGCAGCATATCGAATCCAGACCGAGTCAGTGCAGCGAAAATCAAGTCGATTTTTTGGTTGATATCGAAACTGACACGAAAAAATTGGAACAGTTGGGTCGAATGCTTAAGGTAGGTTTTAATCCATAAAAATTTGCAATAAAATCCTTGGTAGTGTGGGCTATTTGTAGTAAAATATTTAATGGACTATTAATTTGCGTCTAATGTAGATACTGTAATAAAAGTATGATTGATTATTAAAAATTTCATAGCTTCCGCACATTCTATAAAGTGCAGATTTTATGGCTTAATATTACATTGGGCAAATGAAATGCTGCAATAGCTGGAATCTTTAATGTGTTCATTTTATTTGCTATATAAAGCTTTCCATAGAAAATACAAAGTAGGAGAGCTAATTTTGATTGACATTTAACGTGGAAGCTCGTTTAGCACAAATACTTTTCCTAGGATTTTCTATTTGAAATCTACTCTGTTTTTTCAGAGAGAAGTCTTGACAATGGTAATCGGGTCTTATGGTACTGGTACTGAACATTTTCCACCTCCAACGCCGTTGAGTGCCACCACAAGCTTCGGTAAGCTTCAATTTAACAAACATCGACTCTATAATATAATATAAAATATTAGGATATTAAATCTTAAAAAAAAAAAACACGTGGCCCTCCCTAGTATCATTTATTTTCCTCCTTCTCTGACCTCAATCTTTTAGTCTAACTAAAACAGCAGTTAAACTAAATCAAATAGATTCACTGAATAGAGCATAGAGCTGATTTTCACGGAGAGAGCCCCATCGAAAGGGCGAATTAATGAATACTGAGTAAACACTTTGCGCTGATAAGGTCCAAGCGAAAATAAAGAGTTTTCTTATTTTTAGCAAATGAGTTTTATTGAATTTTTAGACTTTGACGAAATGCCGTGGTTCCCGAAAAAAATCTCAGAAATAGACAACGCTCAGAATGTTCTTATGTACGGCAGCGAACTCGATGCAGATCATCCAGGTTTCAAGGACCCAATTTACCGAAAAAGGCGCGAACAATTTTTCAGAATCGCCATGAACTATAAACAGTAAGAACCATACGTCAAAAGTAAAACTAACAAAATACTAAAACTATTTTCAGTGGCCAACCAATCCCGAAAGTCAAATACACCGACGAAGAAGTGAAAACTTGGAGCGTGGTGTTTCGCGAACTCCAGAAACTCTATCAACAGCACGCCTGCAAAGAGTACCTGGAAAATTGGCCGCAGCTGGTCAAGTACTGCGGCTATCGCGAGGATAACGTGCCGCAATTGCAAGACGTCAGCGTTTTCCTCAAAAGAAAAACCGGGTTCCAGCTGAGGCCCGTCGCCGGATATTTGAGTCCGAGAGATTTTCTCAGCGGATTGGCTTTCAGAGTTTTTCATTGTACTCAGTATATTCGACATTCGAGCGATCCGTTTTATACACCAGAACCGTAAGAATATTTTTCATTTGTTCGAAAATTAACTAGAGCTAATGAGAATCCTTTGAAACAATCAAAAACTATAATTTTCAAAGGATCTGATTGTACTTACGTTGTCACCACGTTTTTCCCAAAATGAAAAATCTTCATTACCTACAGGCTACAGATCAGAATTTGGATTTATTGACATTGATCAAAACATTTTCTTATTCTAATTTTGGTCAGTTCTGAGCTCAATCTCATTGATCGATATTCATGGACATCTCAAGTCTGTCCAACTATTTACAATTTCAGATTCTGAGACTCAGTTCAATGAATGTGATAAATAGTGATAATTAATTTGATTTTGCAACTTTCAGCCAAAAATTTTAAATAATAGTTCAATATAGGTACTATAATTTTCTCTAATTTTCAGTGACTGTTGCCACGAACTGTTAGGTCATATGCCGCTCCTAGCCAATCCCAGCTTTGCACAGTTTTCTCAAGAGTTGGGATTGGCCAGCCTTGGAGCTTGCGACGACGACGTCGAAAAATTAGCCACAGTAAGTCCAAAATAAAAAAAAAGCTTCCTCTTGACCAACACATGATTTCAGCTTTATTTCTTCACGGTAGAATTTGGTTTGTGCAAACAAGACGGTGAACTCAAAGTGTACGGAGCCGGTCTTCTGAGCAGCGTTGCTGAGCTAAAGCATGCGATAGCGAATGCGGAAACTAAAGTGAAAAGATTCGATCCCGATCTGACTTCGAAGCAGGAATGTATTATTACTGATTATCAGTTGGGGTATTGGTATACTGATAGTTTTGAGGAAGCTAAAGAGAAAATGAGGTAATTATTGATAAGTACAATAAGTATATTCCTCATTTTAAAAATTCTAGGACTTATGCTGAACAAATCCAACGTCCTTTTGGTATTCGTTACAACCCATACACTCAAACAGTCGAAGTACTGAGTAACGCTCAGAAAATTACTGCAGTGGTCTCAGAATTGAGAGGGGATCTTTGTATAGTCAATAGTGCCCTGAAGAAAATCAGTGCCAGGGATTCTACGCTGGACGTCAACAGGATTGCTACATTGCTGCAAACTGGTCTGACTACTGAAAATAATTATCATAATTTGGAGAATTGTGGAGAGGAAAATGGAGAGTTGAAGAATTAAATTATTGCATTCCTATATTAGACAAATGACTTACCTATTGTAGCTTTATATGTGATATGTGAGTATATGTAAATAAAATGTGCAAAGTAGTGTGAATTAGGTGAAATTTTTGTTGGGTCTAGTTAGCAATTTTGAGGTTTGTGAGGTTGCTGAAGGTTGGGTTAGCTTCAATCTGAATAAGTGGTGTGATTGTAGGCCTCTACTGGGAATATTTTGACACCCACCTGCAGCCGTAATTACAGGTGATAGGTAAAAGGTGTAAATACAAAAGTTGTAGCATTTTATCTGAACCGCCAGAATTTTTAATAAGATTGAACAAATGAGTTACGCAAAGTAAAAAAATATGTCGATGTTCACTTTTTTTAAATGGAATGCCCTTTATTTTCTCCCAAATTCTTAAAGTTCTCGTTTTTCTGATTCAGATTATGTGATATGTAAATGTTTCTTTCAATAGTTTTGGAAATATCTGGAGGTAAGTTATTCGAAGACAGTAGTTTTTTGAATATATTTTACCTTGATACACCTGTCACCCATAGGCGATGGAATTTCAAAATTACTATGGGGGCTCGGGCTCCAAAAATTAACATAAGTAGAATGAATTAGACAAACAGGACTAGGCTACTAGACACATAGACTTAAATGGGACCAATTGACAGATACCCATTTCACTGCACATTATCAACGATATTATTAAAATTCGTGCATCTTCGGCAGCTATACTCGGCTTCGGCAGCACTATTGGCGTAGGCAGGATATTTTGCCTTGGGGAGAGGGTAAATTTGCAGGAAGTGATCCTTGCAGCTCCACGGCAAGCGCAGCAGAAATGAAAGCGCCGCAGGCGCGAAATTTTTGGATCTTTTCACGGTTATTTTTGGCATTTCTAATGATGGGGGCAAGCGGGGATGCGGCCATTTTTCCAAATTTTGATATGAATTATAGTAGAACGTTACTTATATTATAATGTATGTAACTGATTATTTACCCAGGACTTGTATTGATTTTTTTGTTTATTTCAATTTTGATTTTAATTTGAATTATAAATGCCACTTTGTTCCCCTCCCTGGCTACGCCATTGGGCAGCACCGGTTCGATTCGCCTTAACCGGGTACAAGCTAATTCGTCTTATCACTCCCTATGTGTCTAATAGGTTTTTCCAGTCTGTATATAAATTGTCCATGATAAACTGGGTAAAAAAAACAATGTATTGGTAGGTACATTATCATCATATATATTCATGTGGTGTAAGCATATATATCTATCATGAAAACAAACGGAAAGGAAATAATAATCCAACAACTTATTGAAAATACCGGTTTAAATACTACACAACAAAATATTCAAACTGTTTGTTAGAGTAAAAGTTGGCAACTGTGAAAAGTGCGTTTCGGTCTGAAGTGAGGAGGGAGAAAAAAACGATATGGAAATACACAGATGCAACGGAATAGAGCGAGATGAGAATATATTAGTTCGCATATTTGCCGTCGGCAAATTCTTGGTGGACGTGCTATAGGTATAGCAAAAACAACAAAATCACAACACATTAACTCGATACCAACTATCGTGAAATATACTAGGTCTGTTTCTGCAGAAATCAAAAACCAGTCAGAATGAATTTCATTGGTTGAAGCTAGTTTTCTGACTGTTTTCCACCAATGAAATTCGCTCTGACTGGTTTGTGATTTCTGCAGAAACACACCTTAAATTACCTACCCAGTACATACAATACTGAAATCACTATGGGGGCTCCGCCCCCATAGCGTATTCACTACGGGGGCTCAAGCCCCCATTGCTCCCATTGCCCCTATTGCCCCTATTGCCCCTATTGCCCCTATTGCCCCTATTGCCCCTATTGCCCCTATTGCCCCTATTGCCCCTATTGCCCCTATTGCCCCTATTGCCCCTATTGCCCCTATTGCCCCTATTGCCCCTATTGCCCCTATTGCCCCTATTGCCCCTATTGCCCCTATTGCCCCTATTGCCCCTATTGCCCCTATTGCCCCTATTGCCCCTATTGCCCCTATTGCCCCTATTGCCCCTATTGCCCCTATTGCCCCTATTGCCCCTATTGCCCCTATTGCCCCTATTGCCCCTATTGCCCCACCTATGGTCCCGGCGCCTATGCTGTCACTTGTTCACGAAACATTCCGATACGTGAATAGGTCTTTGAATAACTAATTTCCAAAACTATTGAAGGAGACATTAATATATTATATTATCTGAATCAGAAAAACGAGAACTTTAAGAATTTGGAAGAAAATAAAGTGCATTCCATTTGAAAAAAGTGAACATTGAGATATTTTCTCATTTTGTGTTGCAATTACGGCTACAGGTGGGTGTCAAAATATAGTGACTCACCCTGTACCTATCTCAGTACTAAAACGAAATTTCAGATTTTTTTTGTTGTTGAGATTTTGTGTCTTAATGGTCCTATGGGATCCCCCAAATTCCATACACTAAATTATTCTGAGACTTGGAACCGGATTCTATTAAAAAAGGCACTCAGAAAAATTGGAAAATTGATAAATCACCCCAAATTGCTTGACACGATTTTATTTCTGGAACTATAAGTTCAAGTGAGCTGAAATTTTCAGGGATTGTAATCCTTTACTGGGATAAGAATCGCTGAACATTTCAGGCTTTCTATCTATAATAGAAAAAAAGTTATGATCTTCCAAAGTTTTTCAAAATCTAAATCATACGGTAATCAATCACTGGCGTAGCCAGGGGGGGGCAAGGGGGCATTTGCCCACCCCCCCAAGACCTTCAAATTTTATAAATAATTCTTCAAAATCAAAATAAACAGTCCCAAAAATAGCGTAAAGGAACCTGAAAAAGAGGCATGGCACCCAAAAATTTCGTGCCTGCGGCGCTATGCCCCCGGCAGCGGTTGCGGTGGGGCCTTGAGAAACACTTCCTGCAAATCTGCCCCCCCCCCAGACAAAATCCTGGCTACGCCAGTGTAATCAATAGAGAAAGGATCAAATGCAGAAAATATTCCCAATTAACCTGATCAAAAAGTCATTCGTAAACCTGAAAAATGAGAACAAAAATCTCTAACCATTTCTGATGAACAAAATATATTAGCAATACAAACTTAAAAACCAAACAAAATTGCACCATAGTATAAAGGAAAATCAAAATCACTAAAAACTTCACAGATGACGGATGTATCAAAAATATTTCAAAAATCTCACATTCAATCAATTATGTCCTTATCGCAGCCCTATAAAATATTGAACCTACTAAGACAAACAAAATATTCAAAGTGTTTTAATAATACCTACTTAGCTACTTTCTGTCGTATTATATCTTCCTGTCACAAAAATACATTTTATCTACACATTTTTCAATAAACAATAATCAAGCCTTTTATTACTTAAAATTCCATAAAACAAGACAGCAGAGAAAAGTTTTTTCCTAGGCATCTATTTACTTATAATAAATACTTATTTGGTTTTTAAAGCAGTTATGATATGAAAATTATAAATTATTGGGAATTTGGAAGAAAACAAATCCTATACTCAATAGAAAAATTGCTTAACTTTTTACAAAAAGATTGACGTTTTATACATATGAAGAACATTTCCTTATACACTTGCCACACATAAAAAGTAAGTAAGGTATATAGAGATCAAGCACTTATTTGGTTCTCATTTGCGAGATGTCTTCTTAGTATAATTATTACTTGAAAACACATAAGAATTTACTCTATATAAATATCCTCTACCGGATATGCAGTCTCTATAAATTTCTGATAGAATCTCTGGAAAGCACGCCTAAAAAAACATAACTACACTTTTTCAACTCTACAACCTAAGTTTACAACTCACCCAACAGCTTCAGCTACAGGCCTTGTAGAATCTGGTCCTCTGAATACGTGACAAGCAAACCTTTGCAAAGTTGGATGTTTAGTGATAAAACCTAAATACCTGTGATCGCGTGGATGAAACGCACAAAAACTGACGTTTTTTAACGAGTAGAAGTAGTCTATGCAAGGCTCATTTTGCTACAATAATAAAAAAATAATTAATAAAAAAAAAAAATAATTACTAATCCATATATACATCTCGTTTTCGTCTATCAACCATCCTCAGGCCTTGATCGGAAACTTCCAAAGTGCAAGGCTGTACTTCGGGCTCGGTGGTATTAGTACCGATAACGCGTCGTACTGCTTGGCACACCACGGAAGTGCCTTTGTGGGCTAACGTTTCCACAGAACCTAAATAGCCTGAAAAAAGGGATTTTGAGTTTGTGAATTTTGGTTTATTGCTAGGAAAACGTACCTAAAAGATATCGTTCTCGTCTTCCGTGGTCCGTGGCAGAATCCCAATCGCTAAAATCACTATCTACTGCGTACGCTGATGGAAATATGCCCATTCTGCCTGTCCTCATATTTACTCCTGGAAATGTTTGGGTTTTTGTTTTGGGAGCATAAATTATTAGTAGTTTTTAATGTATGTTTCCCCAGAGATCAAATAAAGTGTAGATGCTTCAGTTTCAGTTAAGCAAAGAACAAATTAGGAAGATTGAGAAAGTTTTGGCACAAGATATACCTAACCTCTTCTGAACATGCAAAACCAGGAAACCAAGAGCCGGGAAAGATTCGCATTTTGAGTATCTATCACCGGCTAGAACATTTTTCTGCTGAACATTTTGATTACCTATTTACCGACGCTTGAATCAATAGAAAACTTCTCTAGAAGAAATCAAAAGCCGATAATTTAAAATTTCGAACATTACTGGCTCTTGAATCACTAGGAAATCTTTTTAAAAGAAATCAAGAGCCGGAAACATTTTTCTGCTAAAAATTTTGATTATTATCGGCGCTTGAATCAGAAAAAAACTTCTCCAGCAGAAATCAGAAGCCGAGAATTCAAAACTTTGATCATTACTGGTTCTTGAATCACTATAGGAAATGTTTCTAAGTGAAATGAAAAGCCGGGAAAAATTCTCGTTTTGATTATTACCGACTAGTACACATTTTTCTGCTGAACATTTAGATTATTACCGGCGCTTGATTCCTTAGAAAACGTCTCCAGAAGAAATCAAAAGCCGAAAATTTAGAATTTTGATCATTACTGGCTCTTGAATCACTAGGAAATGTTTCCAAAGGAAATCAAGAGCCTGCAAAGATTCGTATTTTGATTATCACCGGCTAGAACATTTTTCTGATGAAAATTTTGATTATTAGCGGCGCTTGAATCACTAGAAAACTTCTCCAGAGGAAATCAAAAGCCGAAAATCAGAAATTTTGATCATTACTGGCTCTTGAATCACTAGAAAATGTTTCCAAAGGAAATCAAGAGCCGGGAAAGATTCGCATTTTGGTTATTAAGGCTAAAACATTTTCCTGCTGGAAATTTCAATTATTACCGGCGCTTGAATCATTAGAAAACTTCAAGTCAACCATCTGAAAACCTAAGTGAATTAAATAGATGATAAATGTGTGATTACGAAACATATCTACTCTGCAATCAGCTGAAGAAACTTTACCAAAAGTAAAACTAACCCAAACTTGACTGTTGGGTTATGGAATTTGGTAGTTCAAACTTATTCTAGACTAATAACTACCTAAATTCATTCCTGCGTTTAGAAGACTTGTTTCTTAACTTATTTTTTTCTGGAATTGCAAGTGGAAACTGAATGGCTCCAATATTAGGTTCATTCAGATGATTTGTTATTCCTTATTATGTCACAGAAGTAGGATTGTACTTGAAAAAATCAGAATGTACCAGGAGCTCAATTCATAGATAATACTTGGAAGAGCGGGAACTTGTCTTCTGTATGAACATTTCAAAGCATTTTAGAATATCCACCAACTGAAAATATCATCATGGTATGGTGTTGAGAAGACTGCTAGCTTTCAAAATTCACTTATTGTAAGACATTTCCCAATAAAAACAACCAAACAATAGTGTTAGTTGCAAATATTTAGAATAACACCTTTACCTTCAATTACAAATATGGTTTTTATCTCTGGAAAAGACCCGCAGATGCTCTTCCCACAGATGTGATGATACAGATATTTTGTTCGAACATTCAAGATATAGATATTTTTGCATGTCATATGCGAGCATTATAGAAAATTACAAATAGAAGATCCTCAAATGCAGCTTCTGATGATTTGGATAACATCGAAATATAAATGACTTCAAAATATTCACATTGGACACCAATTGCATGATGGATCTGGAAGATATTTTTGAAAATTACATAATATATGGAGCTGCTTCCAAAAACATGGTATTCCTTGGATGACTAACATAGCTACAGATTTCTGTGAATACAAAGATGGAAAGTTCCTACTCATCCAAGATTACTCTCCAAAATTTCCAATGAGGTAGGTATACAAGATGAAGAAAATGACAATTAAAAAAAACAGTAATTTTATTGTAGTTTCTGTCACTTTGGACCAAATCCCTCACCTTCGCACCATAGATCGTCAGCTTCTTTCTGCACATAAACCGGATCGCCGATTTCCAATTCGATTTCGTCTTCGTGTCGCGGTACAAACTTATGCAACGCCCTGTGTGTCGCTTCCAGCATATCTACGTCATTGTAAATCATCCCCCCGACCATCGAAGGGCTGCTGCCCATCAAGGGAGACATGGATTTCGGACCATCGGTGCCCGTTGGAGAATGGGCTGTCGAATGACCACTGTCGGCGTCAGTTAGCAATCTAAAATTAGTTATTAATATTTTTTTAGTTGTGATATCACTTACTCACCTGTCTGATTCGGGAGAATCGTCCCATAAATATCCGCATTTTAGTACCAGCATGGAACTGGGACCGCTGGAACCAGCCGAACCGATTCCGCCCATTTCGTCTGCCAGCGATAAGTCGCGCGATAGTTGATGGTGATGTGCGTTATACATATTCACAATAGCTGCTATAAAATAAGTATGAATGTTATTATGCTAATAAGAATATACTAATAAGTGGCTTACATTTCTTATTTTTGGGTATTTCTGGTAGTTTTCTGCGTCGTCTTTCGCCTTTCCAAGGGGGCGTCAGTACGCCTCTGGAGAAACATTCTACCGTTTGAGATTCTTCTTTGTCTAAAACATTTTTTTTTTTTTTCACATTAACATTAAGATTAAGGAACAAATAAATTTAATGTTGATGTTGCTATTGGTTCAAAACAAGTCAAGTAGTAAGCAAAATGGTACTTGGGAAGCTCTTACCGGTTTGTGATCTACATTGTTGCACGTTTGAGCCAGACGATGAGTCCTTTAAGCTATCACAGTCGTTCAGTTCATTTTCTGGAGATGGAGATGTGCTGGGAGAGTCATCGTCAACGTGAACAAGCCTGGAATAGCGTTAAAAAGAATCTAAATGTTATACTCTTGAGCATTAGAAAAAATCTAAAAGTTGTAGGAACACAGCTAATTGCAATTTAGTTGATTTATTCTCATGAGGTTTATAAACTAGGCCACTATTCTCAGAACCATTTTAGTAGGTAGGTACTTAATTCATATGACAAAAAAATTAACTGCATTACAGTGTCCTTCCTAAATTTGGCAAAACATATATGAACAACTGGTACATTATCCGCAATTACCTTGCAATAAATCATTACATAAATCTTAGGACAAAAAAAAAATATTCATGCTGCATAAAACCCTCATTCATTATGCGCCTTTTTAGCAATATAGCTACCGTCCAATAAGGTCTCAAAAATTTTCACAATACATCAAAATACTCACGAATAAAACGGCGAACTGTTATTGACGTTGCTGATGTAATTTTTCTCGAATTTTTGTCCGAACTGTTCAAACTCGAGATCCGCCATGTTTACTCACCCTCGCGCCCCATCGATTTTACTTATATGGGGAAAACCGCACAGGTCAGGAGAAACGTCGATACCGCCCTCGGTGAAGATTTCCCATCTTGTGCGCTTGTGTCCTGGGGAAATTCGTTTAGGGATAGCGGGAGTTTGAATTTTATTTTTACGAAATAATCTTGTATTAAACATGACTTGATAATAAAACATACTTTATAGTACCGCTAGAAGTTACTTGGCATTTTCAAGTCAATGAATCCTGAGATATTTCTGAGTCTTTCAAGGTCTTGTGGGACGCAAAAGCTTTCAATCTCAGGATGTTTCCAGATTCAAGTTGCTTTAAAAATCTTCGAGATGTAAGAGCTCTTAAGTTTTTGAAGGCTTAGAACAATCTTTCATTAAACATGACTAGATATAATAAAACATACGTTATAGTACTGCTAGAAGGTAGATACTTGGCCGTTTCAAGTCAATGAATCATGAGATATTTCTAAGTCTTTCAAGGTCTGATGGGACGCAAACGCTTTTAATCTAGAGCCTTAGAATTTCAGGATGATTTCAGTTTCAAGTTACCTTGAAAATCTTCGAGATGTAAGAGCTCTTCAGTTTTCGAAGGCTTTCAAGAATTTTTCATTAAACAGGACTAGATTATAATGAAACATACTTTATAGTACTGCTAGAAGGTACTTGGCAGTTCCAGGTCAATGAATCCGGAGATATATCTGACTCTTTCAAGGTTTGATGGGACGCCAAACCTTTTAATATAGAGTCTTAGAATTTCAGGATGATTTCAATTTCAAGTTGCCTTGAAAATCTTCGAGATGTAAGAGCACTTCAGTTTTCGAAGGCTTTCAAGAATTTTTCATTAAACAGGACTAGATTATAATGAAACATACTTTATAGTACTGCTCAGTGGCGTATCCAGGGGGGGGGGGGTAAAGGGAGCAATTACCCCCCCCCAGAGCAACAATGTTTCATTTCTTAAAAATATCTCAAATAACAAAAAATAGTATCATTTACTTGCGTGCGATTTGCGTGCGTCATTTTGTTTCTGGATAAACTAATATTCGAAAAGAAGGGCCTGGTGGTATTTTTGTTCCAAGAGAGGCATTCAGGTAATGTTTAGCTTTTTTAATTTGACACTTTCCATATGAGGAGCGAAGCGAAGGGAGGAGAAATCCAGCAAAAATAGGTGTGAGGTCAGGTGACCATTGGCGTGGGTAGCCACGAAGTTTTATAGATAGGTATAACATTCCTTTGGAGTATCAGATCATAAAAGTTGGACAGTAAGTTATACTCCTTCATATACTTCCCAACTTAATGGTCTTGCGGAAAGAACGAATCAGATACCAATGGACAAAGCAAGATCTATGATAATGCAGGCAAAAATGGATAGGATATTTTGAGAAGATGCTGTACTTGTTGCTATGTGAAACTAATTTAAAAAATCAAGGAAAAATATCATCCTGATAAGTTTAGTCTCAAACTTTGGCAGGAAAAACAAATTTTAAGTAAACCTCGCTAGCACAACCACTGTTGCAAATAAAGTCAAGCTGATCACTAAAAAAAAAACACATTGGAGTTTGGACTAAGAGAGAAAATTACCAGTTTTGAGCATCTGGAAACATTAAAGAAGATTAGGTATAGCTCCTCTGGATGCTATGCAAATCTTCAAACACTCGTAGAAAAAGTATCGTTCTTAACACTTGCGCAAAGTCTTTCCCGCACTGAAAGCTTATACGAACTCCGCTTCGCGTCGTTCGTCTAACTGCTTTTTCGTGCGGGAAAGTATCACTTTACGCACTTGTTAGGAAAATAACTATTTTTATGTAGGTTTGTATTACACACCTTTGAATTCAATTTTAGTTTGGTTTTGTGTTTTGTGTTATTTGGTTACTTGTTTCTTAAAGGGGGTGTGACCAAAAAACGAAAGTTTTAGTGCAAAAAAATCTTGGAATAAATATTCAAACCGCATCTTGCTACGATAGTTCGTTTTCGAGTTAGGGCGGTTTAAAGTTACAACTAGGTTTTTGTGACCTCACACCGAAGTATTTCGGCGGTTGTGACGTAACAAACTCCTGTATAATTTATCTTTTTAATGAGTTTTCTCGGAAACTATTTTGAATATAGGACTGCGGTTTTCACGAGAGATCTTAGATTTTTTTTCTTGTTTTAAGTAGCCTAAGTCGGTTTTTAGGGTCACACCCCCTTTAAAAGTCAATTTCTCAGGAAAATAAAGAATTTCATTTATCAACCTCTTATCGTTTCAATGAGCAGCCTAATCATTTTTTCAGTGGCGGCTCGCAGGCTAATAATACGGAATCTAAGTACCTTATTTTTCGGTAAAAATATATTTTTTGTCCTATAGGTATATAAGTAGAAGCGCGCGAATATGTCATCGAGATATGTAATTTTAACGGCTTTTGGGCGTGGCACCTCAAAAAAAACTGGTTTGCCCCCCCCCCAGAGCCTTAGGCTGGATACGCCACTGGTAATGCTAGAAGGTACTTGGCAGTTCCAAGTCAATGAATCCGGAGATATATCTGACTCTTTCAAGGTTTGATGGGACGCCAAAGCTTTTAATCTAGAGTCTTAGAATTTCAGGATGATTTCAGTTTCAAGTTGCCTTGAAAATCTTCGAGATGTAGAGCTCAGAGCTGGGCAGGGCTTGAGTGCTTTGTGCTTGCGAAAGTGCTTGAAGCACTTTGAGGGCTTGAAAGCCTTGTGCTTCAAGCCCTTTTATAGATTTGTAATTGGGGCTTGCAAAGTCAATTACTTTAGAAAAGTGCTTGGTAATTTGTAATTGAAAAAAGTAATTCAAGCCCTTTCAATGAGCTTCAATTACTTTTAGAGGGCTTGAAGCACTTTTGGGAGCTTGAAGCACTTTGAAAGGGCTTGAAGCACTTTAAAAGGGCTTGAAGCACTTTGAAAGGAATTTGAATTGACCATCATTCAACCTATCCCCCACTTAAACATTTTCGATCGTGTTTTGTCCCTTAATTTTTTTTTCTATTATTTGAACTTGAACCGTCTTATGTCTTTTCTCTCTTAACAATGGAGGTTTTGGGTTTGAGCTTAGAATGGAATTTAAAAAAAGATGAATGAACTTATTATTCAAATAAATAATTAATTTATATTGGTACCCTATTTAACTTTATCACTGGATTTTTTCCACTTTTCCCCATTGAACATTTTGAAAACCTTAAAATTGAATTACCATGTAGTACCCCAAGTACCCCAGAACTACATCTCAAAAAAAAACATACTACTGCTACTCTGTGAAATGTAAAGTTCGTCTCTACTATACCAATTCTGCGTGATGAGTGTACGCGGTAGCTTATGCCACTTTGAGAATTTTATTACAAATTCAAAGTGCTTTAGGCACATTTAAAGAGCTTGAAGCACATTTAAAGAGCTTGAAGCCCTTTTCAAGGCACCCCAAGCACTTTTGATGTGCTTCAAGCACTTTTCAAATCACTTTGAGGGCTTTGTGCTTGTCAAGCCCAAAGCACTTTGAGGGCTTTGTGCTTGTGAAGCACTTTTGAAAATAAAAAGGAATTTGTGCTTGAAATTGAAGCACTTTGATAGAGGGCTTAGGGCTTAGTGCTTCAAGCCCTTTTACTGAGGGCTTTGCCCAGCTCTGGTAGAGCTCTTCAGTTTTCGAAGGCTTTGAAGAATTTTTCATTAAACATGACTAGATAATAATGAAACATACTTTATAGTACTGCTAGAAGGTACTTGGCAATTCCAAGTCAATGAATCCGGAGACATTTCTGACTCTTTCAAGGTTTGATGGGACGCCAAAGCTTTTAATCTAGAGTCTTAGAATCTCAGGATGATTTCAGACCGTCGTAGATGAACAACTTTTTTTTTATACGAAAGAAATAATAAATTAATACACATTGGTCTAAATTGCTATTATTAATATTTTTATTATAATGTTTCAAACAAATTCATTAACTCAACATTAAAGTTGAAATTCATGTAGGTACATCGTGCAGAATTTTAATGTTGTTGCTTTACATTCCATACCTTTTGTTCACAGTGTTGAACGGCCTAGAAAAAAGTTTTTAGTCATGAGAAATGTTTATATTAGGTATGCGAATACTCACCCCAGTTCCACAATTTACGGCATTTTCTCTGTTTGCACACCAATGGGCAGGACCGCGAGTGCACTTATTGGCTCCTACAAGAGTCGGCTTTTGCTCAGTAGGTACGGCAAAAGCAAGGGCTAAAAATAATCAGGAATTATAAGTAGTGTAATTCAAGTTTTTCAATAAGAATAAACATTAAGTTCAAAATAAGTATGAATAAATAAAATATTACATAATAACGTATATTTGAAAAATGCGTTCGGTCAAATTTCCCAAAAATTATCGATAATTTCTATTGCACTCGTTATATTACTATTGATTAAAGCGCTCATCGACTTTTTGACATTTTAAGATAAGTATGAACTTATATGTTGATTAAGTAACTTTTGAACTATGGATTGTATTAATGAGGGCGTCCTTGATTTACTTGCAATGGAAATTTATTTTGAATTTGCTCAAAAAAACAGAAGTTTGTTTGGGTGTTCAATTTAATTTTCTATTTAAACAAAAAATACACATGCAAGGAAAAGTTTTAAAATCTTATTTTTGGCTCTACTATAAATATATATAGGGTGTTCCAGAGAAAACAGTCCACCCGATTTATTGGATTTGGGATGAAAATTTGGAAAAACGCTCGGACACGTCGATTTTGGTGAATACCATTTCACAAGAAAAGTGAGCTTTTTCATGGATATTTCCTGAATGTTAGCTGACATGAATTTTATTTCATAATACCTAGCTTGAAGGCAATAAAGAATAGTGGAGGTTTTGTAATGTTAATTATTATTGTATAGCCCGGAAAATCGTGATTAAGCACTCACTGGGGTAATTCATTTATAATTATCCGTCACAATTTTCTATGAGGAGGTAGAAAAAATAAATATGTAATTATTATCAAATTAACTAATTTTTGCGTCAATCAAACAAAATCTTTCTAAATTTTTTTCCCATTTAAACTTCTGCACATTACAGCAAAAAATCAAAAGATAATGAGAATATAGGGCAAAGTACTGAATTGGAAGTTGCAATTTCCACACACTTATAGAAAAAGTAATATTTGTTATAAATGAAAAAAAAAAATGAAAAAAACTTGAAATT